GTGATTGTTTGATTCAGCGTATTTCCATGCGATATCAAGGCGGTGTCATCTGCGTATTGAAGTGTGTAATTTATTGCATTGAGGTGTAACTGACCTGAAGGAAAATCAAAGCAATATATGTTGTAAAGCAGCGGAGATAGTGGCGACCCTTGATTTGCTATGAAACTTGGAGATGTGTGGTTATTTATTTTAACTCTTAGAGTTCTGTTTTGAAGGAAGTTTTTGATAAGAATTATAAGACCATCAGGCACAATAAGAAGTTTTAGTTTAAATAGGAGGCCGTTGTGCCAGACACAGTCAAAGGCTTTTTTAATGTCCAGGAGAATGGCAGATTTTTTATTGTTTAATTTTATTGTTTGCACATTGGAAACCATCAGAGTGGTTGGTACCAGAGCGGAGATTTGTTCTCTAAACCCAAATTGGAATTGCGGAAATCGTTCGTTTACTAATGCTGATAATTTGACCTTAATAAGTTTTTCGAATATTTTTCCCAAAACTGGAAGAAGGGTGATTGGTCTGTAATTATCAATTCTTTTGTGGTCTGTGCCTGGTTTTGGGATAACTATGATGGTGCCATTTTTCCATTGATCTGGAAAGTACGAGTTTTTATAACAATACAAACATTTTTATAATATAGATATGTATATTATATTCTAGTTTTTCCGATCCTGGAGCGGAGTTTTTCTGATTGGATAGTATTTGAAAGTATTTTTCCTCCTCGAATTCTTTGTTATCTTCGTCATTGATTGAGTTGTTTCTAAAATATTGTTTGCACCATGAGTTTACATTACTCCAGTTTTCTTGTTCAAAAGATGGGTCTTTTGGTCCGTTATATGTTTTAATGAAGTTCCTTTTGAATGCATCGGCCTTTTCTTCATCTGTGGTATAGTCTATACCATTGTCTGTGATATTTGGAATTTTATTCCTTGTTTTATATTTTGACAGTTTATTTATTTTATGATAAAAGTTTCTTCCCTGTTCTGGATTGATTTCTTGGCAGGTCTGTAGCCATGTGTGTTGCTGAAATTGCTTTACTAATTTTTGAATGTCTTTGTTAAAGTTGTTGATGTTTGTTTTGATTTCCCGACTAGGGTTTTGCCTGTATTCTCTGAGCATTTTACATTTTTTTTTTATGAGTTTCACGATGTATCTAGGAAGTTCATAAGTAAAATTTTTGTTTTGGTGTGTTGTTTGTGATAATCTCGGAGATCTTTGTGTGAAAGTTATTGTTTTCATTGGTAGTAATCTTAGTGTTGTTTGAAATTAGTTGGTTTACTTCTTAATTTATTTTTTCAATGTTTGATTTATTGAAATTATATTTAAGAGGTGGGTCTGCAAAAGGAGAGGGCATTCCTTGCTCGATAGTAAACATTATAGAGTGGTGGTCTGTCCCGATGTCAGGGATTACTTCTATATTCTTGATTGCGTTGCTAAGATTGTCGGTGTACATTAACAAATCTGGGGTGGAGTCCTCATTGTTGGGCATCAAAAAAGTAGGGGAAATATCCGCTTTAATAAAGTTTGTGTTATGCATAAAAGTTTGAATCTGTTTTAATTTGCCTGGAGAGTGGTGGTTGAAGTCACCGATTAGCACAACATATTTGAATCTTCCTGCCATTCTGAAGATAGAATCGTCGGTTGAAGCATGTGGGTGGCTTGATTGAAAGGGATACTGACGTGTAGAGCATCATTTCGGAGATCGTTTATGCGGGGCGGGTTTTGTTTTCGCATTTTTAGCTTTGGATTTATTTGCATAAGTGATCCTCTTATATTTTGGTTCTATAGTTGGTGTTGGTTTCCGGTCTATTAACTTCTTTTCTATCGTATAGTTCACTAAATATTTCTTTTGAAAGGAACTGTTTATATTAGTGTATAATATTTTAATTTCGTTGTTGAATGTGAGCTACTTGCGATCCTGGTATAGTTTCAGTGGGAGATTCGAAGTTGTCTAGTTCCATGTCAAACATCAAGATGTAAGTTGTTTCCCACAAACGTTACAGTGATATTTATTCTGTATTCCGCCATGAATATTTTTCGTAGTCTTTCTATTCTCTCCTCTCTGTTGATGTTTTTGGGTTTGTTCAGCTTTTGTAAATAATAATTTATTATTATGTCATGAACTGTTATTGAATAGTGGATTCTGTTCATTTTCATATTGTCCTTAATTTGGTCAGATTTTTTATTTAATGTTTTTACTGGTAAGTTAGGAATTCCTATTATTGGTTTTGTTGGTCTTTTAGGACATTTAAATGACCAAGCTTGATGATCTTCTGAGCCACAACCACTGCATTTTGGGGAAGCGTGGTTGGACACTTGTTTCTGGAATGCTCTTCAGAACATTTGTTGCATTTTGTTGTTTCTGTGCATTTTTCTGTTGAGTGGGAAAACTTCAAACACTTATTGTAAGGCATTGGGGCAGGGGGCGGCGGGGAGCTCGTACAGACAGCATAATGGCGGGATTTGTAATGTAATCCTTCAGAGAGAAGTTTTTCGTAAAATTTTAAACACAAAAACGTTATTTTTATTCCAAGTTGATACCTTTCTATATCCTCAACTCCTCCTCTTTGCCACTTTAACCAATACAATTTAAATAAGAAAAGTACCATATATTATGCATCATCGAAAAGGTAAATTTTATAGGGAATTGAGCGTGTGTTACTTTTTATTTTAGTGTCCTCTACTAGGATAAAAAAATGTTGTATATTGTAGTGTGACACTCCATTTGAAAGTTAATTTTATTAGTAATTTAGTGCACAACGACGAAACATAAACAATTGAGAATCCTCCAACCGTAATACAAACTTTAATCGCAGTTAACTAAAATAACTTTGTGCTGTGCATTAAATTAATAGAAAAATTTTACAATACGTAACAGTTTTAATCCACTAGAGGGCGCTAAAATCAATAGTAATGCAATACATATTCATATTGCTGAATTTCTGTTAGTGATGGTAGGTCATACTAGGTACATTTCCTACTTAAATTGTATTGGTTAGATTGGAGGATGGGAGAGATATGACATAACAGTTGATAATATGATATAAAGGTGTCCCTCTTGAAAGAAAAATCAAATGGTTTTTGTTAAAAAAAGTATACCTTAAAATATTCTGAGATGCAGCTACTAAAATCCCTTATCGCCCTGTACAATATTTTACGGACTTGTTATTATCCATCTCTAAATTCCAGTACAATCCTCTGCGCTGGAACCACGGAACTGTAGGGCAATTTTCTTTCAAGGACGCAATCAACCAAGCATCTTGGCCAGTAACCTTTATGAAAATCCCGATTGTCTATGTGTTCATTATACAATGAGAGGATTACATCTTACCCCCCCTTGTCAACTCATTTACTTTAAAAAGTGAGAAAAACGATTGGACACGTCGATTTTTATCTTAATCGAGGCAATTTATAACAAAAAAAGTTTGCGCCCTTTCATCCCCTCCACGTGCCTTCTAAACCCTCTATTTCTTTAAATAGCATATCCAAAGTAGTTTTATAGTTTGAACAAAAAAAGTTTTCACTATTTCGTAAAATGTTAGTGATTAAAAAGTAATGTTGTATATTGAAAGAGAGTCTCATTATTATCTATTGTAATGTATTCTCTTAATATAACTGACAAAATATAAAATTTTACAAATTAAACAATAAATGTCACATTTTTATTTATAAAAATTGTTTTAAAGAGATGTTTTTAACATTTTTTATTATATATTTTTGGTATCAATACTAAAGACAAAAAATCGTTAAAATGTCTTGAAAAGATTAAACTTTTCTCTTGATGATTTTTACAACTTGGTCCAAAATTTACTTTTTTTTTTATTAAAAAAAATTAATATAAATATTTGTTAGGGATATTACCTACCTTCAAAATGCATATGTGTAATTATTAAGCCTTTAAACAATAGCAAAAAAAAACTAATATATTTTATGTGGATGTTGATTATCAAGGATATACAGGTGATATTCTTTCCCAAACTCGATTATAAGTCTGGAAATGTACGATCGCATTAAAACACAAAAATTATCTCCAGTGCCATAAGCACATTGAGACATTTAATTACAAGTGTTATAAGGTACCAATGAACTGTTTCGAGACTATAAGCTCGTTGATTTAGCATTTAAGTACTACACATTTGGTAGAACCATTTTAGTACTACATATTTGTTAGAACTGTGTTAGTGTTATCCAGAGATAACAGGAGATGTAACTACTAACAAATATCGTGTGGTCCTGAATAAGACATATTCTAAGGGACACAGGAGGGTATTATATCCACTGTTGCCATATGCCTATTTCATTATTCTCGTTTTGTTTACAAAATTATTCTAAAAAATCTAAAATAATTCAACCTATTTTATTGCAACTGAACCCAAAAAAATTTGAATAGTTACCTAAAATTCAACCAAATTAGATGTAATAATTTTCAATAAATTGCAAAACCTATTAATGGTAAGTTGGAAGTGACCACAGGGCTTACATCGGTATGGATATCTACGTTGTTTATTATAAGCGCACAGCGGCTTACAAATTTATTCAATGATAAAAAATGTGTATCTGCGTAAACCCCTTCTCTTTATCCCCTCTCTTACTTCTCACCCTTCGTCTCCTCGCCGTGGACCTACAAATGGAGCGTATTGAATGTCGAATTGATCTTGGCATCGTGAATTTTATATTTTATCAATGAATAGTTATATCCCTGGTGTTATCCCTAACATATAATTATTGTACAAACAAAAAAAAATATTAGAATATAACTTCTATTCTTGGACTATATTTTTAAGTGTGGAATATTTTTTATACTAATCATCCATTAATATAAAAATAATTTTGGATCAGTTTGTATTATACACATACAATTATTTACAAATTGAGAGAATGTGGTAACTACAAATCCCTAAAGATAGACAGATACTACTAAAAATAAAAGTAAAAATTAATTAGTAGAAAAAAGTGCTTCCCTTTATTAATTGGCGTTTTTTGACGCCTTTTTGTGATTTCAGGTGGAAAAACGCCAGACTTTCAAACCAGGAACTACTCCCAGATTATGAAGGAGCAACTACTAAAAGGGGAAGAAAATGAGGTAAGTTTTATTGTTAAATAAATGTTAGTATTGTAAAAAGTATGTATTGTTTTTTTTTTTTTTTTTTTTTTTTTCATACACCCATGGCTATATAGTTTTCTATGACATTCTTACAGATAAATTTTTATTTTATTTTTCTAACACAGGTGTCCATCTGATAATCTCTAGATTTAACCTGTCCTCATCATTATCTTCATTTGCAAAACAGATTGAATATATTAAAGGAAAAATTAAAAAATGAAAACGGCTCGATTTTTATTTCAAGGGGTCACCTTTATGTCATCATTATCATATTATCATCTGTCATACGTCACTCTAATACAATTTCAATAGGGAAAGTACCAAGTATAACTCGATGAAAGAGTAATTTTATATGAAATTCAGTACTCTAGTGGGAATTTTACTGTTATTGTAAGGTGGTACACTTTATTTGAAAAGTAATTTGATTAATAATTTAATTCACAACATTACAATACATAATTTGTAGGTACAGTATTTCAATTATTTAAGTTCATGTTTCTTTCAATTGAAATGTCACTTTACAATATTTTTTGTTGCCCCAGTAGAAGGCGCTAAAATCAAAATTAAGGCAATAAACAGTTTTTTTTTTGTTGAATTCCCCATAAAATTAAATTTTCAATGATCTGTCAAATTTGGTACTTCTCTATTTAATTTATATTGGTTAGAGTAACAATTGACAGTTGAGGATATTTCAGAAAAAAAATTCCCTTCAAGATATTTATTCTGTATTGTTTTCATTACATTATCCTGTATAGTCTTTGCAAATAGCCCAGTTCAAAGAATGCCTGGTTTCTGTTTTTTAAGGTTCCGTACGCGAAGGGTAACCAACGGGACCCTATTACTCCGTTTATCTGTCAGCGGGCTGTATTTTATGACCCAACAGTCAACAGTCTACTTATTAGTAGACTGTTGAAATTTTAACAAAATATATTTCTGTTAATAATAATAAAAATAAATTAATAATTAATGGGGATTACTCTTCTAGGAACGTGTTTTTTCTTGTCTTTTTTGCTTGACTTTAATAAAGTATTCAAAAAGTACCTACATAGTATTAAATCTTGTACAATGATGTTATGTTATGTTGATAATGGGGTGTTAATACACTGCGACCTAAAAGATCTCTTGTGCCCCCTTCTGTCGCCACTGCACTAAGGAAATGTCTCAATGCCTATAGCGACCCTTCCAATCCTATTTTCTCAAGGAAGTGTAGGATTTGAAGTGGCTTCAAGTTAGGTAAGTCTCCCTCTTCTATTTGATATCCTCCTAGATATAGTGCCCTTGGATTCTGGAGTGCTACACATTCAGTTAGGATGTGAATGGAGGTTTTGTCCTCCTCCTCACAGAATCTGCACTCACTATCCTCTACTACTCTCAGTTTACTTAGGTGTCCTTTTAGTCGGCAGTGCAATGATGCGGAACCCTTCGTGCGCGAGTCCGACTCGCACTTGGTCGGTTTTTATTTGATTATTTCAGCAGTTTACTACTTTCTTCAGTAATAAATCAATTTATATGACAGTTTTTCATAAAATAATCGGAAATAGACGAATACTGGGGTGGGATTCTGTTGTTTGTCGAGTAACTCGATCTCGATATGATTCATAATTCGATCGAATTATAAAAAGCGGTTCTATAGTCTCTATCTGTTATGACTTCGGAAATCTTCGACTCGAATTTGATATCAAACTCCATAATTGCAATTCCGTTCAACGAAATTCGATAATAAACTTGATCAAATAACTCGATAGCTCTGGAGAAGTCGCTTCGGTGTGAAATAATTAAAGTTAAATTTTTTTGACATTAGGTATGAACCTTTCAAATGAGAAGAATAATACAACTGAAAAGAATTTTGTATCTGCAGAAATGTGCCTTTTTTGAATAACCTCTCCTACATTAAGGGCCTTATTTTTTCAATTAGGTATATACGGGGTACCTATTATTTCATAGGGACAGTATCTGTAACGTGTGGAGGGTGCGTTAACCTACGGCACTTAAGCTTTACTAGGTCCATTGTGCATCCTCCTAAGTAGATAGACACCTCCTAGCTCGTGACCCAGGGACAGTATTGCTATTTCTTAAACGGTAACAGATAGATAATTGGTTAAATTTGATAAAAGTTGCGCCGTTTTGTGCCTATTAAAATGATGCCAAAAAAATATTTGATATCTACAAGAAAATTCAAAATATCGGACAAAAAACGAATGAATTAATTTAAAGAAATGACAATTTTCACTTTTTTGTTCGTAATTTTGAATCTCCCCATAGATATCAAAGGTTTCTTGGCACCATTCTAATAAGCACAAAACTGCGCAACTTTTGTCTAATTTAACTAAGTTTAAACTGTTGTATTCGTTCCCATACGTTTTATAAATTGACTGCACCAGAAGATCGAAAAATTGTATTTTCCGAAACATATGTAGTGCTGTGCTAAACATAAGAAAATAAAAAAACGACCGAATAAACCAAGGAAATTTTTATTTATATTAATATTATAGAAATATATTAAACATTGTTTTATACCTAGCAACTTACTTATTTTTAATTATTAATAGATATAGATAATAACAAACAAAATTAAGTTTAAAAAAATAAATCAATTTGAGTCAGAAAAATTGTACACATCACCATCACTATTTTTATCCTCTGACGAGTCCGACTCCGACCCATCACTCCCGTCAGACTCCAATATCATTTCCATTGCCTCTGTTTCTCCAAGACCACCCTGTGACTGGTAGTGCGAAGTAGACGGGTTCTCTTCACGCTCTTTATACTTGGAGGGCTTGGACATCACTAATACCTGGTTCTGGTCCAATAGTTTCAAATTATAAGCTATTAAAGTAACTTTACCGGTTCGCTCAGCAGTCAGTCGGTTTCTTTTTGAGGAGTGATTGAAACCATATGTGCCAAAGCTCCTTTCTCTAGCAGCGCTAGTTGCAGGCATTCCTAAAATTTGAACTGCTAATTTACTTAGTTTTGTCCCAAAACAGTTTCCTTTCCACCAAATTTTAAGTTTTAGTGTATTGACAGACTTTAAAACGTATGGTTTTGCAAAAAATCCTTTAGATCTATAGTACGTCAATTCCGCCATTAAATTTGCCGTGTCATCTGGGTATTTTGAGATAGCTAAATAATCAATAAACTCTGTACCCTGAATTTGCTCCTCGTTGAGCGAATGAACACCATTTAAACGCGGGTCTAAGACAATAACAAAGATATGTTTTAGGCCCTTTTGGCCTGTCACTGCGCATGATTTTTCTCTTCAACGTTCATCTATACCGCCTTCTCTACATAATGTCGTTTTCCCCATTTAAATCTGATCAATAATAACAAAGATATAAGTTTTATGCCCTTTTGGCCTGTCACTGCGCATGATTTTTCTCTTCAACGTTCATCTATACCGCGCTCTATACATAATGTCGTTTTCCCCGTTTAAATCTGATCAACAATAACAGATATAAGTTTTAGGCCCTTTTGACTTGTCACTGCGCATGATTTTTCTGTTAATCTATACCGCGTTCTTAACATAATGCCGTGAATCGGACCAATACTGGCCGAGAAACACGCTTAGGCCCTTTTGGCAATCGCATGATTTTTCCGTTCGGCGTTAATAGATATTTAATTACCCCTGCTCCCCCTCAATCTGTCTCACTTTTATCCATTGAATGTGTACCTCTCACTCTTACACATTGAATGTGTACCTCTCACTCTTACACATTGAATTCCCTATGTGTCCCCGTAGCGGCTTTGTATATCTACTCTGTCAAATGTATAGGGTGTATGGCAGTATGCTTTCTTTTTGCTAAAAATTCCAGGATATTTTCACTCTTCCTGCTTCGTAAGGGGACTTGAAAGTAACGCCGTTTCAAAAGTTTTTCTAGGGTATAAAAATAATCTATTACTTCAGCTTAGGCTTATCTGACTATAGTTTGGTTATATATTCAACAATGGGGTTAATCAAAAATTCATCTAAAATTAATTTTCCTACTCACTTGCTCAATATATTATCTACTATCTCACAAATTGCTAAAGCTTTAAGCATACCTTTTAAGCAGTAAATAATTGATCCCAACGATTTTTGACGGGTAACTTCAAAGATATTGGCACAGTTGTCTCCTTTTTCAGTCTGGATTTTTTTTTTTTAAGTAGCCAGAGTTATTAATTTCTTTAACGATAGCTTTAACATCGTCCTCTATCGAAGCCATCGTTATTTTTGAGATGTCTCCTATCAATAAGTTTAAGTGTATGGGCGACGCAACCTTAAATAGATATATGTTTATACTCTTCATGAATGATATTTCTGGCTTTGACTATTACACTGGCGTTGTCTGTCACTAGAGCAATGAAATTTTCTGGTCCTATTTCTGTTAGTACTTCTTCAGTTTATTCTGCCATGTACTCTGCAGTATATCGATTTGTATTAGTAGTAAAAGTTTTAATAAACACAGGTGTAGAAGTGGAAATAATAAAATTAATGGCCTCGTATCTTCTGTTGCTCCAATCATAACATTGCAGACTCAGAGCATTGGCTTCACATATTTTAACTTTTATGTTGGCTCTGATTATTTCGTACTCTGATTCTAGAAGTTTATTAGACAAAGAATGTCGTGAAGGCATTTTAAAAGTTGGCTTTAATTTTTGAAAGAATAACTGTCAATGTTTATTTTCCGAGATTGCAAATGGTGTTCCAGAAGCATAAATTGTCCTTGCTTACTCTTCTCTATTTGAGAAATCCATAAACCTACGTAAACTAGTAGTTGACCTGTTATGCTGACAGTTGTCGAAGTTGAAGCCTCGTCAACTTCGCCCTGATCTGAAAATAAATGTTTTGTTATGACTTGAATTTAATTCAATTCCAGCAAAAAAAGCCCCTTTCACCCTCCGTGTAATAAGGCTTTAATTTTTAAATTTTGTCCTACTCCTCTTAACACTCACATCCTTTAAGGTAAACCCATCACTATTTATTTTTAAATAAAATATCTATTCAGACAATAAAATACAACACTTATTATACCCCTTCAGCTACTTTTTTTAAATGCTCTTTGATACAAATATATAGTTTACCATACAGCATACTCTCTACTAAATATTTACATACCTTTGGATGAATCTGCAGTACTCATCGGAGAGGCAATGGATACATTTCGATTTTCCCCTATTTTAAAGCGATTTTTAATATCACTGGGGCATTTCAGACACTTCAATAAGTGTTTTATCATTCTTGTTACATTTTTAACATATTCACTTGCATAAAATTTGCAAACATAAACCGTTTTTCCCTAAAGTTTTTTTATATTATAGTAATTCCACACATTACTTTTTGGTTTGGTTATTTTATTACCTCTTATCCTATTCATTTTGCCGATTTATGTGTTCAATAAAAGAAAATAATTCTTATACTGTCTTGTTTGTACGTTATGACACGAATAATTACAAATACATGCCTGGGATTCCCCGCGGTCCGTTTCGCTCGGTAAAAATCGATATCCGATGGCAACGCTCGGTCGCGTTTACACCGTGTCCCTTAGAATTATGAGAAAATTACCGTCGAGAATTTTCTTCTCGCCTAACATCACTATCCTTAACGCAGGATAATTATTTACCAAATAATCAATATGTAAAATTTTATTTCTGATACTTTTTGTATTAAGGTGCAGAATGGAAATTTCTTCACATCTGTTGTCTATTGGTACCTTTTCTCCTTGACGATGCTTCTTTTTGTTATTTTCAATAGCAATTTCTTGCCTAGTTTCTGAAGTAATCTCTGTTGTGCCCATATCTTCCTCTAGCCTGCTGATGTTGGTGTTTTCTTGAGATACCAAGATTTTCTAGAAAAAAAAAACTTCCAATAAATATAAACATTTTAACTTCTCATTTTTTGTTGGAGTAGGTTTCAAAAAAGAATAGATATTTGTTGCTTAGAATTGATTAATTATGATTAAGAATATTGAAAAAAAAATATGATAATCTTACAACTAGATTAAAAAACCAGTTAAATATGTGGGAAAATAAAAAACTGATGATGTTGAGACAATTTAGTCTGACCGATGACACATACAAAACTTGATAAAATCAATTCGGTACTTTTCAAGGAAGTAAAAAATAGTTTTATTAAAGGCGCACTTTACAGCCCCGTTTGATACCCTAAAAATTATATCTCGTCTAAACGAAAATACTGTTATCTTTATTTTAGCAATGTCATTTAGAATCACCCTAATGAAGATTTAAATATTTTTTAGCTCCGCAAAAAAATTATTGAAAGATCAAAGGAAGGTACATTGAAACCAACAAATGGTGAAGCTAAATCGACCCCTAAGAAACGTGGTCGATGGGATCAAACTGTAGATGAAGTTGTAGTGCCACAAAAGAAAAAAACCTTGAGCGTATCTACTAGCAGCGCATCTGCCACACCTGTTTGGGAGGGAGACGTACGTAAAAAACGTATTTCATAATATTTTTGTACTAAATTTTATTTTGTTTAGAAAACACCGGCAGATATCCGTTGGGATGAAACTCCAGGACATAAGGGTAGCGAAACACCGGGCGCAACTCCAGGTCAATCTACAAGGATGTGGGACTCGACTCCAGGACCTGCAACTCCTGGAAGAGAAACGACGCCAGGCCACGGAGGAGATAAAAGCACATCCAGAAGAAACCGTTGGGATGAAACACCAAAGACCGAACGGGAAACCCCTGGTCATTCCAGTGGTTGGGCTGAAACTCCTAGAACCGACCGAACTGGAGCGGATCTTATACAAGAAACTCCCACTCCTGGCGCGTCCAAACGCAGATCCAGATGGGACGAGACTCCCTCTGCAACTCCATCGCAAGTTATGACGCCCGGGGCTATGACTCCTACTACTCCTCATGGCACTCCACATGGTACTCCAAGTCACGGGCATTCAACTCCTTTACTAACTCCCGGAGGCAGCACTCCAGTGGGTGTTAAAGCCATGGCTATGGCCACACCTACACCAGGACACCTAGCATCGATGACGCCTGAGCAATTGCAAGCTTATAGATGGGAAAGAGAAATCGATGAGCGTAATCGTCCATACTCAGACGAAGAACTAGATGCTATGTTCCCTCCTGGTTACAAGGTCCTTCCTCCACCAGCTGGCTACATACCAATTAGAACCCCAGCTAGAAAGTTGACAGCCACGCCCACTCCTTTAGTTGGAGGAACGCCCACAGGCTTCTTTATGCAGCAAGAAGATAAACAAGCGAAATATTTGGATAACCAACCAAAGGGACAGAACCTGCCGTTTATGAAGCCAGAAGATGCACAATATTTCGACAAACTTTTAGTAGACGTCGATGAGGAAGCGCTTAGTCCAGAGGAACAAAAAGAACGGAAAATAATGAAACTGTTGCTGAAAATCAAGAACGGCACTCCTCCTATGCGTAAAGCAGCTTTAAGGCAGATTACAGATAAGGCGAGAGAATTCGGTGCCGGACCGTTATTCAACCAGATTTTACCGCTATTGATGAGTCCTACCCTCGAGGATCAAGAACGGCATTTGTTGGTGAAAGTAATCGATAGGATTCTGTATAAATTGGATGATCTGGTCAGGCCTTATGTGCACAAAATTCTCGTTGTTATTGAACCCCTGCTTATCGACGAAGATTACTACGCTCGTGTGGAAGGTCGTGAGATCATATCCAACCTCGCCAAAGCCGCCGGTCTTGCCACTATGATCTCTACGATGAGACCTGATATTGACAACATCGACGAGTACGTCAGAAATACAACTGCGAGAGCTTTCGCCGTTGTAGCTTCCGCTTTGGGAATTCCTTCACTGTTGCCTTTCTTAAAGGCCGTTTGTAGGTCGAAGAAATCTTGGCAGGCCAGGCATACTGGTATTAAGATCGTTCAGCAGATCGCTATCCTTATGGGTTGTGCAATTTTGCCACATTTGAAATCTTTGGTGGAGATTATTGAGCATGGATTGGTGGATGAGCAACAAAAAGTCAGGACCATTACAGCTTTGGGTTAGTTGTATATATTTTTTTAATATATCTTCAATTTAATTTGGTGGATATCAATTGGACTTGTTTTGTCTGTCATTGCAAAATTTTAAATGTTATAGAGGTTCGTGTGATTTCAGCGTTTTTCTTATTAGGTATACTAGTTTTTTAATATTATTAATTAAAATTGGTTATTCTCCATAGTTTCCTCTCAAAGACACAACAAATTTATTTATTTTTTTTAATATCTGATAAAGACCTTCTTAGGTTTTAAAAATCGACATTAAAATAGACATACACTACTGCCATATTGAGATAGGTTAGCTAGAAATGTTTTATTTAATTTAAATAGGTCATTGTGCCGATCTTAGTTCAATGCCAACAGTTAACTAGTGGGTCGCTTATTGGCATTTGCTAAAATCATTTATAATAATAATAATAATGGTCTTTATTTTGATGAACAATTATAATACAATACATATAAATATTTTACTTATTTATTCCTCAGTAGGAAAATACAAAAATTAACACTATAAGTGAGTACCGTCAACTGGGGTGAAGTCGGACAATATTTTGCGTTTTTTTAAGATACTGCAATCAATTTTACCTCCAAAATTATCCAAAAATTCATTAAGTTAGATCTGGGCACTACTAACGATATGGGCTATTTATAGTTTGCAAAAAAATCAAGAACATATTTTTTTTGTGAAAAATGAGTGTCCAACTTTCCCCGCAAAATGGGGTGAAGTTGGAACTGGCTTTAAATGTGCATAAAACCAACTACCGAAGTCTATATAAGCAGAGTTGGACAAGAAAAAGCATTTTTTTAAAATATAACACTAATTTAAACACTTAAAAAAATTAAAATGCTGTTAAGAGTACAAATATTTTATTCTAAATGAAACAAAACTTGAAAATATTTTTTTCTTCTCTAAAACAAGTTAACAAAAGAAAGGAACTTAAAAAAAGTTTAGATCTTGATTGAAGCGCCTACCCTATAAAATCATAATTGAGATCTTCTCGGAACTGGATGCGATTTCTTCTCAAGTCAATGGGATTTCTTAACAAAATCTTGATATCTTCGTTGTAAACTATTGATCTATCGGGAACATCTGGATAAACAAAGTAGTAATAATTACCCCTGCATACCTTTTCAGAAAATTTCTTTCTTAGGAAGTTTATAGTACAAAAGTCCCCATGGATATCTTCAATTTTTCCAACAAAGTTTAAATTTCTTTTATTGGCCTCGAACTTAACTACAACAAATTGGTCCTTTTGAAACACAGTATTATTAGGAACAGAAGGTTTTACAGCCCCCTATTTTTATTGAGAGCATCACTGTTATTTTCGTCATCACCACTACTTTCAGCATTATTGTTTACTGAAACTTGATCTGAGTCCACGCCCTCTTCTGATTTAGCATCATTGTTTGTTGGAAATTGATCTAAGTCCTCGTTCTCGTCTGATTCGTCATCTACATCATTATTAGGAAATGATACACTTTTTCCTGGTACAATGGAAAGCTTTTTTCCCTCGGTTTTCTTGTAGAAGACGTCGAAGTAATATTGTCTTTAAAAAAAAAACTAGTAAAACTGTCAGCCCAGTTCGTTTCTACAATGGTATTGTCATTAACGAGTGCATAGTCCGCTAAGTTTTTTAAAACTCTGTCTGGATTGGGTGGTATGATTCCGCATGCTGCAAATCCAGCCTTAACGTTATCGGCAGAGCAAAGACTTATTTTTTTAAATGTCTTGGACAGCAAAGATGGGAAATCACTTTTGGGAAAAACGCCTCTATTCTTAGTTTTCCACTCTCTAAGAACAGAGCGCCACGCTTCTTTCATTGGTCTAAAATAAGGGACATCAAGTGACTGGCAGAGGTGTGTGTAATTTGGTGGGAGAAGTGTAAATTCAATGTTATTGTCCTTACATTTCTTGATCACTGATACAGAGACATGGCTTGAAAGGTTGTCACCCAAAATAATTTTTTTACCTTGGAGCTTAGAAAAATACGGCAAGGCTATTTTATTAAACCAATCTTCAAAAGAAAATTGTTTAAACCAGCCACTCTTGCTTCTATTATACACAGCACCTTGGGGCCCATTTTCAATCCATGTTGGATACAAATGTTGTGCCTTATACACGACATATGGCAGGAGAACATGGCCAGACCCTGCAGCAGCAATCATAACAGAAATACTAGTTTTGGAACTATCCATAATACGGTCGCAATGTTTTGCTCCTCTTTTGGCAATAACTGTAACTTTTCCCGGATCATCTGAAAAGTTGGTCTCGTCATAGTTGACCACATTTTCGGGAGGGACATTTTCAATTAAATTGTGAAGCTCTTTAAAATAATTTTGAATCACAGTCGATGTCACTTCTGCTCGCGCACGTTTCATATTTTGTGACAGTCTAACAGATAATTCATTATGTCTGTTTAGAAAATTTTTTGACCACTCATATCCAGGAACGTTGTTATGAAAAATATTAATGGTCTTCCCAGTTCGATCTAAGTAAGACTTCACAATAAGCCTAACATCTCTGGTAGTAAGTGGAAAATTTCATTTTGCTGCCGTCATAATGCCTTCGCTTAATATTGATTCCTCAGCTGCAGATAGGACTGTTTGGCCGCCAAAATTTTTTCGCATTTAATTCCCTTTAAGTGATTGTAAATTGTAGACTTAGGAATAGAATATTTTTCAGCTGCCTTCCTAAGATTTAGCCTCTTTCATCTTACATCTTGAACTGCCTTGCGCAAATTTTCTTTTAAATAATTTGACTTTGGTGGCACTCCTAATTTCCGTTTATAAGTCCGAGCCATTTTGTCCAACTTGCCCCTACAAAATATTTTTTTTAATGTTACGCCACTGGCATCACTATATTTAATAAATATGCGGGTAGTACTTTTGCGGTTTGTTACTAACATAATAACGAAATATAAACACAAATATCACTATCCTATTATTGTCCATACGTCAGGTACAATAGTTATAAAACAGAATTTCAAAACACAAAAAAAAAATCCTATTATATTTACGTAAAAATATGAATTACTTACCGCTAGTAGATCTACCTCTCCTGTCGGCATAAACCATACTAAATCATGCCAAAAACGATTTGACGTGTTTGGCGTCTCAAGGCCAAGTCGTCGCCTTACGACAGGGCCGGATTAAGAAATACTACACATTGTCCAACTTTCCCCGCCCTGTCCAACTACACCCCAGTTGACGGTACACACTTGTATTGTGTGGTGAGAAAAAATAGCGTGAAATGAATACATAGATAAATAGATATCAGCAATCAAAAAATAAGAGCGAACATTTACAATATATGCAATATAAAATGTGGAGAATGAAGAAATACAAATTAGGAATTTGCTATGCATAAATGAAAAATAGGTGTTCAAATCAAATCAGTTATTGTGATTAGAAGTAATAAATATAAAATTTTTATGTTTCTATAATTCTCAAGAAGTCCCTGTAGTTACTGTATGTATATACACTGGCGAGCAAAAAAATTGAGGTCACCTTAAAATTTTCATGTTCTTTGAAATTTTACGTTTTTAGATCATACTCGCAAACTGTACATCATTGCATGTGCTTTTGTAAGCTGAATGTGATACTCTATACTAAACAGAAATGCATTTTTTTTTTTTTGAATTTCATGATTTATTAACATTTTGGGCGAAATTCAACATTTTGTTGTTAGGGAAAATATGGAACGAACAAAATGAAAAAACTTGACACTAATAACGTGTATTCCCTCCGCTTGCATTGATGACTGCTTGAAGTCGGCGCGGCACACTTTGAATTAAGTTGCGGATCACATTCTGGTCGATGTTATCCCATTCCTGCAACAGCAATCTTCTCAGCTCCTGGACAGTTCTTGTCCCAGACATGTTCTATGGGATTCATGTCTGGGCTTCGGGCTGACCAGTCAAACTGCCTAATTTCTACCTCATCCAGATACTCCCTGACAATTCTGGCTGTATGTGGTCTCGCATTATCTTGCATAAAAATGCCACATTCCCCCATAGTCACCATGAAAGGCATAACATGGTCTTCTAGCACCTCCGTAATATACCTGTGAGAGGTTAGGGAGCCATTTTCTATGAAGACCAACTCTATACGAGCTTGTGCAGATTCCCGCCCAAACCATAACTTACCCACCGCCAAATGGAAGACGCTCGTCAATGCATACTTCAGCATATCTTTCCCCAGATCTTCTCCACACTCGTCGACGTCCATCTGACCCAGTGAGGCAAACATACGATTCATCTGAGAACAATACCCAGCTCCAGTCATCATCATTCTAACGAACGTGATCTCTGGCAAATGTCAATCTTGCAGTCCGATGCTGGCGTTGCAACGGGAGACCTGTAGCCATTCTTCTGCAAGACAGTCCAGCAGCATGAAGTCTTCTAACGGTCCATTCACTAACGTTGACATTTCTCACTTCTTCCAACTGATTTCGCAGTGAAACCGCACTAGCTGTCCTATTCCGCAAACTTGTGGACACTAAAAAACGGTCACCTCGTTGAGTGAAAACTCTTTTTCGCCCAGACTCTGGTCTTCTATTGATCAGGCCAGTCTCCAGAAAGCGCTGGTACACCCTCTGCACACCACAAAGACTAGCACCAACAATTCTTGCAGTTTCACGTTGTCCCCGACCATCTTGTAACAGCGCAACAATTCTTGCCACAACAATCGGATCTAAAGGCATTATGGGCCTGCTAAATCACTTTACAATCGTTAGATTTTACACAAAGAATCAACAGTAAACTGGAAAACAGGCAAGGGAAATGTGAATGTTCAATTAGCGTAAAGGCACATTTTTTATAAAAGTCGTACAAATAGGGGGCCTTTGTATTCTAATAAATCGAATGACAGCTGTCAAGTCTCGGACAACAATTGCTTTCAACGCCTACTAATACTATTATGTCCTTATCAATATTGACGCTAAAATTATTCGCAATTTCTGAAGTGACCTCAATTTTTTGCTCGCCAGTTTGTATGGTTTGATAGCTGAAGAGAATTTCTTGAAGTTAACATATTTTTGAATGGCAAGAGGTAATAAATTATAAGCTTTAGGTAGAATGTATGTTACAAAGCGGTGACTAATGTTCTTGTTAAGTGGTGTAACAAGTAGCGGGTTCATTGTGCTCCGTGTACTATATCCATGATTGAATGCTTGCTGACAATGACCACTCTTATAGGCAAATGTTAAAATCGTTAGAAAGTATTAAGACCGAATATTAGATATTTCTGGAGAATACAACGCATTTGTTGAGGATTGTTTTTTTTTTTTTTTTTTCGTCTAAAGATAATTTTCAATATGCAATTCTGTATCACTTTGAGATTTTGTAGAGCGTTTTCATACAGACCACCCCACACTAGTATTCCATACCATAGGAGTGGCTCCACAAGTAATATTTGTATATTATAAGCAACAGTTTAATTGACAGTATCTCTCTCAATATATAGAATTTGTAGATAAGCTTTCTGAGTTTTGTTGTTAAGTAGCTATTGTGAGTTTCCCACCTCAGATTGTTGTCAATTATAACTCCTATGTATTTGATCTGACTGACTTCAGTGTTGGTTTTGTTCAGATTTGTGATGCTGATATTCTGGAACTCAGGTCTATTCGCATTATTAACAGAAAAGCTATATAATGTGTTTTTTAACATTTAATTATAACTGGAAAGCATTTAACTAATTACTTATTATGTTAAGTTCTTTCTGAGCATATAATTTAGCTTGTGGCCAAGTATCAGCCTCGAATAGGGTTACAGTGTCATCAGCATAGGAAATAATTTTAGCATTTGATAGTGAAAGCATTGAATTGATGTATAGTAGAAAGAGTATTGGTCCAAGTACTATTCCTTGAGGTACTCCTATATTGACGGTAGTTGGAAGACTTAGCGAGTCATTGATTTTAACCTGTTGTTGTTTATTTTCTAAATAATGGCTTAAAACATACAACACAGAGCCTCTAATCCCATTTGTTTCAAGGACAGAAAGAGGTTTCTGGCGGTTTACTTTGTCGAATTCTTTCGCCAGGTCTAGAAAGACCCCTATACATTTTTTATTCTTATCGAGTTGGCTCACAATTTCGTTCACTACAATGAACATGGCATCACTTGTTGATTTATCAGCCTGAAAACCAAACTGATGATCATTTATTCATTTATTTTTTTACGGATCAAAACCCATTTTACAGATTATTATGTAAAGATCCATAACAAATGTAAAATGACTGACATTACAGTAAAAAATGAAATATAAATAAAAATAAAACATATATGACTAAATATAAACAAAATAAAAAAAAAGTTAAAAGTATTCAACAAACACATATTAACATGTAAGCTTTTTATAGCTCTTTTAAAAGCAGGAAGAGATTTATGGACAATATCAATATTCTGATGTTTGTTAGCTAATCGTAAAATTCTGGATATTGTCTCATTTTGTCCGCAGTTAGTGTAATGAAAAGGTATACGAAATTTCGTATTTAAGATCTTATTAGCTGTAAGGAACTCCATTAAACGACTTTTAAGGCGTTTTTCAAAAAAATTTCCAAAGTTGTTTAGTACACTGTTTGATTTTTGGTTTAACAATCAAGTCTGGTACATTTATTGGTTTGGGGTTCAGCTTTGGGTTACCATTTATAATTAATACATTTGCATAAAAATGTTTATTCGCCGCTTCCTTTTCATAGCTTTGTAATTTTTCTTGAAGCAATTTAATTATCTTAATCTTGTCGTTGATTAATGCTTCTTTATCTTCAATTTTACTTTGTAAGAGCTTCACATAATCATTATTACGACAAAACTTACAACGAAATATCAGTAAGACTTACAACGAAATATCAGTAAACATCGTTGCAAGACATTTCTTAAACAAAACATTGTCAAGAAAAATATATTATTGATCACATAGAGTAATATTCATTAATTGTATATGGTTCTAAATTAATTAACAATTCATATACTTCCCTTTTAAACACTTTAACATTTGCTAATCTTTTTATTGTATCAGGCAGTTTATTGTACAACTTTACACAGCTGTACACTGTTCCATATTCTGTAGCTGTCAGCCTATATATTGAATATACTAGGTTTATATTTCTCAATATATAAGCATTCGTTGGTTCAAAATTTGAAAATAAACCTTTATTTTTAAATAAAAAAATTAAACATTTCTGGATGTATATATATGCCCTATCACAGTTAAGATTTTATTTTCTCTAAATTTACCTCTACACGACTCTTATATTCAAACTGAGCATAATCCGCATTATTCTTTTTTGTACTAAAAAACCCTTTCAATTAAATTGCTCCCACTATAGAATATTATCCCATATCTAATTCTGGATTAAAAATTTGCAAAGTATACCATTTTTAAACTCCCATTCCAAATATTTCTTCACAACTTCGATGCAGTAACAGATCTGACTCAGTTTTGTACATACAAACTCAACGTGGCTTTCACAGCACTGACAACTATCAATTTATAGCCCCAGACACTTGGTAAGAGTTGAGACCTTAAATATGCATTTGTTTAGTTAAATATTTATTAGCATTTCATCTGTTGTAATTGGTTTTAAAAAGTACCACATTTGTTTTGCTCTCTTGAGTATTAATTTATTTATTTCAAACCATTTTTAGCTTTAATTCTCTCTCTCTCTCTCTCTCTCTCTCTCTCTCTCTCTCTCTCTCTCTCTCTCTCTCTCTCTCTCTGCATTTAGGGTTAATTCCATCATATCAAATGCATTTATTAAGATAGTCGTTGTCTGCATAATTGGTTAGCACACAGTTGTCATTAACCATAACGCTGTTTAGTTCATTCACCTAAATAATAAAAATCAACAGACCTACTATACTTCCATGAAGTATTCCTATATTAGATGTTATTTCTACAGATCTACCTTCCTCATTATTTTTATATATTTTGACAACCTGTTTCCTATCCTTAAAGTATGATTTGAACCACCCTAATGCAGGCCCCCTTAATTCCATATTTCTCCAGCTTGTCTAGTACTATCCCATGGTCCACACAATCGTAGGCTTTGGACAAGTTCAAGAATAGGCCAATAGCCAGCCTACTATTCTTCAGATCCTCTAAAACCTGCTGAAGAAACTCGAAATTTGCCGTTAGAGTAGATTTCCTTCCCATGCTGGTAACCATGTTGATTTTTACTTAATAAGTTACAGGTCGTAACAAATTCTGATACCCTTTTACACATTGCTGCTTCAAAAATCTTTGAGAAAGAATTCAAAAGACTAATAATTGGTCTGTAGTTCACCTTTTTTGCGTCGCCTTTTTTGAAAGCAGGTACTATGCAGGCTATTTTTAATTGATCAGGAAACATCCCAAATTGAAAAGAGTTAGTTATTATATATAATAGCGGATTCACAATTTGCTCAATACATTTAATAATAATTTTTGATGGTACCTCATCTATATCACTACTCATCTCATTTTTGAGTTTCTTACATCGTATACTACCATTTTAATATATTCATGCATTACAAAAACGAACTTTTATAATAATTAGAGACGTTTCCAACCTATATTTATTGGCTTACTATGTTTCTTAAATTTTTACAGGTATCGCCGCCCTTGCTGAAGCAGCTACCCCTTACGGTATTGAAAGTTTCGACTCCGTACTTAAACCTCTCTGGAAAGGTATCAGAACTCATCGCGGTAAAGGTTTGGCCGCTTTCCTCAAAGCTATCGGTTACTTGATTCCCCTTATGGATGCCGAATATGCGAACTACTATACTAGGGAAGTAATGTTGATTTTGATCAGAGAGTTTCAGTCTCCCGACGAAGAAATGAAGAAAATCGTATTGAAGGTCGTGAAGCAGTGTTGTTCGACGGACGGTGTCGAAGCGCAGTATATCAAAGAGGAAATTTTGCCGCAATTCTTCAAGCACTTCTGGAACCACAGGATGGCTCTGGATAGGCGTAATTACAGACAACTAGTAGATACGACCGTTGAGATTGCTAATAAAGTTGGAGCTTCCGAAATCATCAATAGAATAGTGGATGATCTTAAAGACGAAAATGAAGCGTACAGGAAAATGGTAATGGAAAGTATTGAGAAAATAATGGGTAACCTCGGAGCTGCTGACATTGATTCTAGACTAGAGGAACAGTTGATTGACGGTATATTGTACGCGTTTCAGGAACAAACTACAGAAGATGTCGTTATGTTAAATGGTTAGTATATAATTTTAAATATTTCTCATTTAAAACCTTATATAGAATAAAATGTATTCATCATAAAGACATTTTACATTTTTTATGTAGTAAAAACCTGTCAGATTAGTCGAGATACTTTTCACACAGTGGGCATCCACACAAAAAACTTTGTCATAGATTTTACAATTTACAGTTTTTGCTTAAATATACAAGACAGATTACAAAACAATAATAAGATTGACATAATTACATTTCAAAATTGACAGAATAAACTGCTCTACCTCCGACAAATTGAAATGGCATGAATTTAAGTTTTTGATGTTCTCTATCAGGGTTACCAGGTTTTTGAAAGAGATGACGGACAGATAGGGGATTTTAGGGGAAATAGGGGGAAGTAAAAATAACTCGGTCTATTTTTACTCTTAATCAAAATTACTTATTTTGCAAGAAATCCTTACCTAATTTTGGTAAAGATACATTGAGGTGATTTTACAAATAATAAGGTGAAAATGTAAAGTTAGAAAATCGAGAAATCGCAAATCGAAATTCAAAGTCAGAAAACATTTTCACCTTATTATTTGAAACACCTTAGTCTATCTTTACCAAAAAATAGGTACGGATTTTTTACAAAATAAGTAATTTTGGTTAAAAAAATGAAAATAGACAGAGTAGTTTTTACTTCCCCCTATTTCCCCTAAAATTCCCTGTCTGTCCGTCATCTCTTACAAAAACTTGGTAACCCTGTTCTCCATATTGCCCAAAATTATAAGATGCTTCCTTGATATATAAAGAAGAATTCTGCCCCACTGTTAATCTCGAGAAAGATGTATATATGAATCGTTTATTTATTTATGGGTCAGAGCCCATTAAAACAATACAATTACAGAGAATACATATTACATACATACATTAAATAGTAATAAAATCCTAAATAATAATTAATTTAAATACATAAATATTAAAAACAATTAAAAATCTACTCCTCACATATACATAAATGGTTAGAAAAATCTGATGGAGAAGTAATTCATTCTACATTTAGTCTGTTAGCAGATCTTGTCACTCTAAGAATAAAAGAGTGAGAACCATAATTTGTTCTATGGAAAGGTCGGGAGAATGTATTAATATTCCTAGTTACTCTAGAGGGTACAGAAAATCCAATTTGGGATAATAAGTGCAATATTCCATTGACCCGTTAGGCTACAATTTGCAATATTATTTGTTACCTTTTTGATAAATGTTAATTTCAAAACACTTATAGAGATTTTTACTAGCTCAGTGAAATTTAATATCAAACGTTACTTACCTTTAAAAATAAAAAAATAAATAAATGAGCACATCCTTTTCTCTGTCGTGAATTCGGCTTTTCAAATAGACAATTTTAAGGGTAGTAATCTTTCTAGGAAATGTTGGGCACCAATAATTCTCTTTTTTATTTTTAAATGCTAGTGAGAATTATAAATTCTAGCTTTATCAATAAAAAGAAGTTAATAAAAATTATACAGAATTTAGTGAATGAAAGAGAATTTTTTGTGACCTTTAAAAAATAAGATTCAACATATATACTTATAAAAATTAATGATTTTATTTAAAAAAAAAGAAACCTTTTCGAAAACAAATTATTCACAGTTATCAGGTATCAAATTGTGATTCGTACATAAATAATTCTAGTCACTAGTAATTACCACATTTTACTTTGTTAGCTAACCACTTCTAGATAGCCATAGGTAGTTGAGATTTCTGTCCCTCGGAAACCAACGCTAATGTCGGTTAATTTCTTCTTATGAAGCTTCGAATTGTAGCTGTCGCTTTTCCAATCAACTGACTTTTCACAAGAGATTTCTGCTCCTCGAGAACCAACGTTCAGATTACAGCGGTTGAATTATGGTTTTATGACGTTAGGGCTTATGTCGTTATGGCTGATTCCATTCGTTTGCTAGACAAAAATAGATTTTGTTTTTCACGTGGTTCTATATGATATATAAATTTGAAACATCTACTTTAAAAAAAAAAAAAAAAATGAACCAATCAGATAATAAAAACTAGTGACTACACATATTATGCCGTTCTAGCAACCAGAATGAATCATAAAAATATATTTAAACACATCACATTATGAAAATCAAAAGTAGTTCTTCTAAGGAAACCCAACATTCTTAATGCTTTATTAACTTAGGCCGTTATATGAGTTTGAAAAGAATTCTTTTACCTCTGTAATAGTATCCAGTGTTGTCATTGATTTTATAGATGTATTCAATAGGACTATGTTTTCTGTTGAAATTGATTGCATGACATTTACTTGTATTTAATTCCATTCCATTAGTACTACACCATTGGACCAAGTTATCCAAGTCTTTTTGCAGGCAAATAAAATCATGTAAGGAATTTACAGGCATGAATGATTTTAAATCAGCAAAGCAAAGGAACTGAGAATTCTTTAGTCAAAAAAAATACGTGTGGCACTCGGGGACTGCCGCGGTAAAGCTATTATCAACTTATGCAATTATAATTATTCATTTTATTTATGCAGTATTTTTTTATATTAATTCAAGTTTTTTCTTTGATATTAATTCAAGTTACACTTTTTGAGCGTGGTGACCGATAAGAAAACAAATTTTTTTCTTTTATTGAATAAATGATAAGTTAATATTGTTTAAAATATTATTATTATCTTACAATACATGTAGGTTATTAAGGAATTTTTATCATTGAAACTATGTATAGGTTTGTGGTAACTGAAATAAGACATAAATTTGAGACTTGATATCCTCTAAATATCTGGAAAATACCGCATCAATGGTGGTCCCATATTTGGTTGTGGATTCTTGTGGATCATTATTCATTTTCAAATTCAATTTTTCCGAAATTGTGTCTAAAAGAGAGTAGTTAGCAGCCACGCATACGTCTAGTCGCACGCACACAAACACCGTGCCGAAGTCTGCTGAACTGAAACGACGTTAGACGATGCACGGCTTTCAACGCCGCACCGCTGTGCCGGTCGGAGTGGGGGGTGTTAGGTTTTTTTCGTTAAGGAATTTCTTGATTCGGTCGCCGCGCTCAAAGCCCGCGATAAAAGCTATGCAATAGCTTAAAAACTTAAACAAATACCTAGACAAATAAATTCACTAGGCAAACTGTCATTCTGAATTAGATGTTTTAACCTTTTTTTAAAATTAACCAATGATAATGATCTAAGAAAATCAGGTAGAGAGTTATAAATACTGTGATATGCAATAGGAGAAGAAGGATTTAAAAAGAGCAGTGTTGTGTTTTTGGGAATGGACAATGATTTAGTAAATCTGTGGTTTAGTGAGTGTGCTTGATATCGAAATTGGGCTTTTTTATAGATATGTTGGAATTTTAGTAAGAATTAATTTGTAATAGAAAACGCAGCAGTGGAGGAAACTCCTTTGTTTTAAATTAAGCCAGCGATCTGTTTTAAACTAGGTGAGGTTTTATTTCGTCTACGAATCTCACAGATAAGCCTAACGCACGAGTTTTGATTTATGGCTGAGCCATACACAATATCGGAGTGATTGAATCTTGATAAGACTAAAGAGTTGCAAAGAGTAATTTTTGAGCTATAGGTTAGTATCTTTCGATGAGAATAAATCATTTTTAAACAGCAAAAAGATTTTATATTAAGAGAGAAATGTTTAAATTTGAGTTGTGTCCAGATAAAGACCTAGATTTTTTTCACATGAACTGAAATTCAATATTATTTATTTGGGAGTTATGTTTAATAATAATCCTACAACGTATTATCTGATGATCTGTTAAATGATCAACATTAATAGTACCATGATTAGAACAAATATCGGGACAATTTAAAAAGATAGGATAAATTAGAGTTCTCAAATGCTTAGTAATGTATGTAGGTTCGTCAATGATCTGAGTTAATCCAACAGCTTCTGAAAGATTAGACAAAGGATTATTTTCATTAAACAAATCTATATTTCCAAAATGTCATAATTGTTCGTAAAATATCAAGATGTTTTATAGCCTCACTTACATTCTGTTTCGGAAGTCTGTACAAAATTCCAATACAAAATGTCACATTACTAATTTTAAAGGTTACCCATAAATGCTCTAAACTGGCAGTATAAAAATAATGATCAAATTTTAAAAGTTTGCACTTAAAGTACTTATATTAAAGTGTTTATTTAGTTCTTTCGTGTTTTTTTGGCTTTTTAAATCATTTTTAATTCTCTATGCTAATGACAATACTGAGTAGGTGATAACGAACATTCAATAGGCAGAGTGGTACGACTTTCAAGATCTACCCAACCTCATCATAGCTACTATATTGACTTATTATTTAAACAATTTTATGTTTGTATGCATTTTATGTAGTAGTAACTAACCATTTTTTTAATATTTAGGTTTTGGTACCATCGTCAATCAACTTGGAAAACGCGTTAAACCCTACTTACCCCAAATTTGCGGTACCATATTGTGGAGATTGAATAACAAATCTGCCAAAGTGAGACAGCAAGCGGCTGATTTAATTTCAAGGATAGCAGTCGTGATGAAAACGTGTCAAGAAGAAAAACTCATGGGACATTTGGGTGTTGTACTATATGAGTACTTGGGAGAAGAATATCCAGAGGTACTTGGATCCATTCTTGGAGCTTTAAAAGCTATAGTTAATGTTATAGGTAAATTTTGATTAATTCAAATTATATTAAAATATTTATACAATAATTGTATTTGTAGGTATGACAAAAATGACTCCACCCATCAAAGATCTGTTGCCTCGTTTGACGCCAATTTTGAAGAACAGGCACGAAAAAGTCCAGGAGAACTGCATAGATTTGGTTGGTCGTATCGCCGATAGAGGTCCAGAGTATGTTTCTGCTAGAGAATGGATGAGAATTTGTTTTGAGTTACTGGAATTACTCAAAGCTCACAAGAAAGCGATTCGTAGAGCTACAGTAAACACTTTCGGATATATAGCCAAAGCTATAGGTAAGTTACACGTAGTCTTTTGTTCGATTTTTTGGATAAGAAAGATAAAAGATATATAGTTTTAAACCCATAATCTATTTACAAAAATTTAAATACTTTTTTTTTTGTTTTAATAATGCACCAAAATGTTATTTTCTTCTCTCACTTATTGGCAATGGACGATAGTCCTTCAGCCACACACAAATTGAAAGGCATGAAGTCTATCTATTAAATGTTTTTATTATTTTTACTTATATAATCGACCAATAGATCAATCTCCAGTTGCAAGCAATCCCTTAACACACGTTGGAAACTGAACACCTGCTTTTGTGAGACCATCCCACTTTTTATTAACTTTGTTATTAAATATATGCGAAATTTTATTTGGCAATTCCTTATAGATGGAAAAATATGAACTATTTGAATAAAATGTTATTTAAAAACGCCATTTGAAATTGAAGGAAGGTTAAGTTTGAGCCAGTATTTTTCTTATTTTTTTTCTCTCATCCTGTATGTTAATAAAGTTGCACATATTCAGAAAACTTGTATTTAAATTTTTTTAACTTTTTTTTTTTTTTTTTTTTTTTTTTCGAGAATTGACTGCATTATTTTTTGATCTAGGTTTTTGAAATTACTACATTTATTTCAGGTCCTCACGACGTGCTGGCCACTTTACTGAATAACTTAAAAGTACAAGAACGTCAAAACCGCGTCTGTACAACCGTAGCCATAGCCATTGTAGCTGAAACTTGTTCTCCCTTCACCGTATTGCCAGCTCTAATGAACGAATACCGCGTACCAGAATTGAACGTCCAAAATGGAGTTTTGAAGTCACTTTCTTTCCTTTTCGAGTACATAGGAGAAATGGGCAAGGATTACATTTATGCCGTAGCTCCGCTCTTAGAAGACGCTTTAATGGACAGAGACTTAGTTCACCGACAGACTGCTTGTGCTGCAATAAAGCACATGGCACTTGGTGTGTATGGTTTTGGTTGTGAGGACGCGCTCGTCCATTTGTTGAACTATGTCTGGCCCAATATATTCGAAACGTCGCCACATTTGGTGCAGGCCTTCATGGACGCCATCGAAGGAATGCGAGTAGCTTTAGGACCTATTAAAATTCTACAATATACCTTGCAGGTAAAGACAATGATCTGATATGTTTAAAATAATTGTGGATGACTTCAATTAATCATAAGAAAACAGGTAACAAAGACGTTACCGTAAAGTGGGGTTATTTTGCACCACTTTTTGATGTAAATTTTTTAATAATGCCTAAAAAGTACTTAAAAGTAATTTAATTATTATTTGATAATTGGTAGCCATTGTATAGCTTATGAAATGATCTTCAGTACATTTTTGAGCCGATTAGTTACTCTATAAAAGCAAATAAATAATTTAAATGGTGGTGCAAAGTATACCTTAGAATGGTCATACTTTGCACCATTTAGCATTTACATTATTTTCACGCAGTAATCCCCTATTGGTGCTATGAAATACTGCCTAAACACTAACTTTGCGCCACCGTAAATGTACATTACATCTACAACTATATTTTTTGAATTGCATTCCAATATTTAATAGGCATTTTTAATGTTTTTTTTTTTATTATTATTATTATTATTATTTAGAAAAAAGGGTTAAAATAATTCAAAATCCAAACAAAACAGGTTATTGTTTAGCCAAAAAATATTTTTTAATCTCACGTCTAAAGATATGCAATGATACGTTCCAATTTAGAAAATAAAACTGATTACATATTTTAACAACATTATAAGTGAAACCTCTTTCAAACTTTGCAGTGGATTGATGAGGCATTGTAAGCATATTATGTCTAATATTAACATTATGAACAGATGTTCTGAAAATTAATTTCTCAAACAAATAGGCAGGGTTCCTTGTCTTTAATAGTCTATTCAAAAATATTAATAGATTTAGTTGATATAGATTGTCAAATTTGAGCCATTTCAGCTGAGCGAAATAAATTGAGATATGATCCTATTTCCTCAAACCAAAAATGTATCTGCAACAAGCATTTTGTATAAGCTGTAATTGGCTCTGTGACAGTTTGTCCAGACAAGGATAGTAAACAATATTGCAATAACTTAATATTGATAAAACTAAATATTCCCAAAGTTTTTTCTCATTTTAAAGTTCAATTTATGCCTATTAATGTAAAGCAACCGCAATTTTGAGTAGCTACTCTTGATCAAGGTCTTAATATGACTCTTAAATCTAAGAGACTGATCAATAAGTAGACCCAAATTTTTTGATTCATTATTTAAAGTTATACTAACATCATCCAACTCGAGTCTCATTGATCTTTCAATAACAACACGTCTGGCTTCACTGCAAAATAGAACAGCAGTAGTTTTTGAAGGATTAAAAGTAAGATTGTGTTCTTTTGAATATTGTAATAGAAACTGCAAATCTCTATTAATCAGATTGTTAGCATTGTGTATATCTTGGGGTTCTAAATAATTTAATAACTGGGTGTCATCAGCGTAAAGTTGAACTTGACTATCCTTAAGTACTTTTGGTAAGTCAGAGGTGTATACCAAGAATAATAAAGGATCTATGATGGATCCCTGGGGGAAGTTATTATCAATCACTACCTTCTGAGTACGATTCCACAAATAGGATTTGAAAAAAGATAAAACAATATCACTACATTCATAGTATTGAAGTTTTGCGCACAACAGTTCGTGATCAATTAAATCAAAAGCTTTAGAATAATCCAAGGCAATTAGAACAACAGCAAGTCTTTTATCAATTGCACGAATAACATTTTCACAGAGGTTTAGTAACGAACTAGTGGTAATATGCTGTTTGCGGAAGCCAGATTGTTGTACAGGTAGGATTTTATGAGTAGTTAAATATTCAAATAACTGGTTCTTGTACCGAACTAGGATTAGATATTTTAGGAATAGGAGAAATAACAGATTCTCTCCAAGCTCTTGGAAAATAGCCACACTGAAGGCAGCAATCAATTATATGTGATCTAAGATAGTAGATATGCACAGTTTAAGCATGTACATAGATAATACCATCACTTCTGGAAGCATTAGAGTTGATTGAATTTATTGCATCTCGGACATTATTTTGATTAACTAAGTTAAAATTAGAAGTATTGTTCAGGTATTTATTATTAGCATAAGAATGAATCTTGTTAAGACAATTGTCAGATTTTTTAAAAATGCTAGTAAAATAATCATTTATTTATGTAGGATTTTGTAGATTCACAGGTAGATCATTTTTTAAAATAGATTGAACATTCATATTGTGTAGGCCTTTCCATAAACGTTTCTCATTTTTTTAATTCTGCAAACTGGATAAAAATGCTGCTTTTTCCCTCCTAATTGAAGCCAGAGCATAATTTCGATATTCCTTATAATGCCTCCAGTTTTCAGGTATTCTGTTACATTTGAATTTAGATAATGCGTTATCTCGTTCCTTGAGAATTAATTTTAAATTATCAGTAAGCCAGGGAGCTGGTGGTTTACTGACTCTGATTTTTACCAAGGGTACATGTTCATAGAAAAGTATAGTTATATTGTCAGTTAAGAAGCTGACCTTGTCATTAATATTATCAATAAAGAATATACCATCCCAGTAAATTGCTTGTAAATCCCTTTTAAATTTTTCAATATTTAGGTTCTTAAATTTCCTTTTCGTAATGAATTTCTGTCTCGATTTATTAATAGATATATTTAGTGTGCAATGAGGCATCATATTATGATCACTTAAGTGAAAGGGGATGGTGGCGCTGTCTTGACAAATGTCTTTGCAATTAATAAAGATGGGATCTAGTAATGTGGCACAACTTTCAGAAATGCGAGTTGGCTCAGTAATAACATTAACATAGCCATAAGCATCAAGTAGATTTAGGGTAGAATTAGGTACTAACATATCTATGTTCAAATCGCCAGTGATAATAGAGTAATCTGATTCAGAAAGCAAAAAAGGAATTGAAACATTAAAAAGAGTAGAGAGTTCAGTGAGGCCCGAGTCGGACGGCCGATATATGATACTGATACACAATAAGGAAACCTGCTAAGCCGGGGCGGAGCCCAAAAAAGCTTTGACCGATTTTAATAAAATGTTACATATTACAATTAATTCATTAATTACATTACAATTAATTCATTAATTCCAGAGTCCTGCTCACAGGTACTTCGATTATTTTTCTGCACAAAAAAATATCGCCCAGTAGAATATTTCATAATTTTTTCGTATCTTACGCCCGTATGCACCGTACACGTTTAATCCAGATCAATGGTTTAATCGCGTTTAGTACCATAGCTAAAAATGGTACTAAACGCGATTAAACAACACTTTCTCTAATTGTTTGTTAGTCAGAAAAGGTGTTCCTCAGGGCAGCATTCTTGGCCCATTACTGTACACCTTATATACATCCTTCCTACATTCACATCTAAATCATTGTAAGAGCCATTTATATGCTGATGATACACAAATTTATTATTCTTTTGAACTGTCTAAAATTGAAGAGTCGGTCAGGCGTATTAATGACGATCTCTCTATTCTTGTAAGTGCATCTGAAAAACACTCATTGCATATCAACTCAACAAAATGTTATGTTATTGTATTTTGCAGTGAAAATAACCGACAGCTGATCTTGCCACAAATACAAATCACCTTAGGGAATGAAATTTTAAAAATTAGTTCCTCGTGTAAAAATCTTGGTTTGACTATTGACTCGCAATTAAGGTTTGATAAACATATTAACGAGAAGGTTAGGAAAGCCTACTCTTCCCTAAAACTAATTTATCCACATAGAACAGATTTGTCTACTGCAACTAAACAAATGCTTACTGATTCTCTTGTTTTATCGCACTTTAATCATTGCGACACGGTATATGGTTCTTTTTTACGATTAATTGATAAGAATCGAATTCAGAAAGTACAAAATAGTTGTTTAAGGATGATCTATGGCATAAGGAGAAGGGAGAAGATTTCTTATAAATTAAAAGAGGCGAATTGGCTGAACATGTTTAATCGTCGGAAACTTCATTCTCTCTGTTTATTTTATAAAATAGTTAAGACCAAAATTCCCTCATACTTACATCAAAAGATAAGTTTTCGGACCGACGTCCATCATATTAATTTAAGGAAAAAAAATGCCATTACCATTCCATCTCATAATAAACAAATATTCAAAAAATCATTTAGCTACCAAATTGCATTGAACAGTCATCTTCTTGATATACCAAATTTCAGTCTTTCATTAACAGGTTTTAAAAATAAATACAAACAAATTTTTTTACGCGAACAGACATTTTAAATTTTAAGTCTTTTTTTGTGATTTTTAATATTTATTAATAGAGATTAAGGTTCCTTTCACTAGTTAATTATTCTTTTAACTGTATTTTTAAATTATTCTAGATATGTATATGTATTTTTACTCTTTATTTTACTTATTTATTTTTTTCAAGGCGAGTGAGGTAGAATTGGTCTTATGACCTATCACTCGACCTTTTATTTGCCTAATTAGTATATTTAGTGTATTTTTGTTTTTTTTATATTTTGTATTTTTATACATCCTTTATTGGCAAATAATAAACTATTATTATTATTATATTATTATTATTATTATTATTAAACCCTTGATCTGGATTAAACGTGTACGGTGCATACGGGCGTTACTCTGTTTTTGAGGAAAAAATTAAAACAATAAATTAAAACATTTTTGCACGTCACTGAATACCTGAACTCTGTACATCAAAAAGAAAGCAAAATTTGATCATGGTTTATTGGACAAGTACCTTCATTTTTGGATAAACTATCAGTTGGTAAAATTCTGGACCATCCTGACATATTTCATATGCTACCAACTTTATCTTAAAAAGTTGTGTTTATCAGGGCTGGTATATCTAAGGGGGTCGCGACATAGACCCAGTAAATGGATGAGGGGGTGACTGAGGCTAGGGGGGAAATAGTAGTCAGCTTAAGTTGGCAACACTTTTCTGACGTTCGTTTGAACGAGCATCGTGCATAATAATGTCAATATGGTACAAGTGGAATGAACCACTGTTTTCCTCGTAGTCCAATGTCGAATTAAAACTAAAAACGTTTTGTACTTTTTAATATACCAAATTATGCAATTTGTTTCCACTTTATTTTAATGTTACATGAATAGGTACATGTGTTTGTGATGTGGTAAATAAGTGTTCATGTGAAAATTATCTCTTAAACTACATTGTGATTGTAAATCTTTCATAGTGTTGCTTGGGATAAATTGTAAAAAAGGTGTTTGACAAAACGTTTACAACCTAAAATTGCATGAAAAACATGGTAGAAGAAGGAATTTTACCTTTATGACATTCTCTTTCAACATTTTTAAGTGACTTTGTGGTTTGGTAAATGGACTGTTACCACAGTCAAAAGATTCAAAGTAAAAAAAAAAGAGACCAAGTTCTAATAAGAATACATACGTTGAATATGAAAATGTAATTACTTGATTTAAATGTGATTTAATTAAGAGTTAAATAAAGGTTTCATATAAACAAAGTGCTGTAAAATGTTAATAAATGCAAAACCATTATTAAAGAGAAATTAGTTATCATCAATAAGATATTTTGTAGTAGCTGGTCTCTATAAATAATAAACTTGAAAGACTGAATTAGTAGTCACTTTTACACTAGAAGTAAAAATAAAAAAAAAAATGTGTGGTTGAGACTAATTTATGTATTTAATAAAAACATATTTAACATAAAAGTAGGTGTTATTTGAAATGTTTTATTTTAATAATCTTTATAAATTGTGGGTACATTTGATCCGAATCTTGCAAATACTATAAAATGCATCTTCTATATGGTTAGTATTGGAGTAGAAGCACAAAAGTTTTGAATAAAAATATACGATACCGGAATATTTTGCTTGATTACTAAACTTTGGATGTTTTTGTTGTAGTCTGCTGTTAACACTATTGTCCTGAAATATTAAAAAAAGCTAGACAAATGTTTGTCCAACTCTTTTGTCAGCTTTGTTAATCTATGCTACTGTTATTCTGCATGCAGACATTTTTTACTGGAGATTTTCTCTAAGAACTGTATTCAGTTTCAAATTTCGGCCAGTTTTAGGAAAGTACCTCTGTTGTAAAGGTATTTCAAATCCATCCTTTGTAAGATGTAGACAACAAATACATACTAAAATGTATAGAAAACAAATCGCAAGATATTACACAAAATTATTTAAATTAACTAAAAACATACAAATGAAGTGAATAATACCTACCAACAATTTAAAAAGACCTAAAATAAATAGACTTAAGGGACTGGAGCTCTAAAAATGGGAGCAATAATTTGTTATGCATCATCTATAAGAAAATTGTCTTCATCTCTTCAATTACCTTTTAAAATAAACAAAACTAAAACAGCACAAAATTGAAAGTGATCTACTTTTCCCGACGTATTTTATGTACATCTGAGATTAATAATTTATTAAATTGAAATATTTTATCCTAAAAAATATGGGCATTTTATAATGGAAATGTCATTTAAGAAATGACATTGATTTTTTTTCTTATATTGGTAAACCTGGCGACTACAAGTTGCCACGTTGCCAGATCAATGGCGACTACTATGTGACTACTATTTCGAAAAAAATGGCGTCCAAAATGGACTCCTATGTCGCGACCCCCTTAGATATACCAGCCCTGGTGTTTATTAATTATTTTTTATTTTTAGGGTCTTTTCCATCCTGCAAGAAAGGTGAGAGATGTTTATTGGAAAATATACAATTCTTTGTACATTGGGGGACAGGACTCGTTAGTGTGTGGTTACCCGAGGATAGCCAATGATCCTAAGAATCAGTATATTAGATATGAATTAGATTATGTATTGTAAATTGTTAAGATATTCTTAGTTTAGGTATTTGTGAAATAGATTGAATGTTGAAATTTAACGGCGTAAGTTATACTTATAAAAATAAAATACAAAAGTGCATGTTTATTTTTTTTTAAAGCTATTGCATTATTTTGATTTAATTCTAGACGGCACAATAATGAATATATATTTTTTTTTTTTACAGAAAAATGAAAGATTGTATAAGTTTTTAATAAAAATATCAACGCTTAAACCAGAAAAATCTAAAAGTTGAATAAAGATGACTTATTTTATATATTGAGGGATGATGAAGCCTTTTCTCAAGGTATACAAATACATATCGGACCCTGTCAATTTTGTCGTTAGAAAAGCAAGTGTTCAAATAACTGAACAAATTATAGTACTTACCCTTTTATTTTTAGACATTGTCTTATAACCCAAACAAGATACCCATCTTTTGATTTATTATGAGATTTACCAATAAGAAGGTTTAAAATATCTAAGGAAAAACGGAAAGCCAAGTGGTTTATTGGTTACATTGATATTTTGACGCAAATGTCAGTCCCTTATTCAAACGAAACCCCGGTGGTATCTCAAAGAAAGTTACATAAATCTTTTGACTCACCATTGAAAATACAGACATTAGATTCGTCTATACTAGACATTATATACTAATTGTATCTAGCGTTGTGACGGCGTCGATTTAGGTACGTCGCAGCGTTGAACATCGCCTTGCGACGAGGCGCCTAGCGCCGTGATGGAGAGGAAGGTATTTATTACGGTACTGCGTCGGGACAGATATACGGTAGAACATGCTTGGTGGTGCTGCTCGACAAAGGGTGTCGTCAAGGATATTATGAAGGAAATATTTTAGGGACGGCAAGCATCGGGAAATAAGGCGTGAGACGTTGACAGCGTTCGAGGGATAGGAGGTATTGGAGGATAAACGTCGGTTAAGAAGAGTGTCGATTTAGGAAAGGTACTGAATATAAAACAATCTGATTTCTATATAAAATCATAATGAATAAATCTCGAGTTCCCTGGGTTCGAGTCTTTATACCCAAATTTTATTAATTGTTAAGTTACAAAAATGGAATTAATAAATTATGAAGGTACCTAGATGAGGTAGGTTGCAGGCACAAATAAATAAAAACAAAATATTTACAAAGAACAATAATTGAAATATAATAAGAAAACCAAACAAAAACGGGATATTGCTTAGCCATAAAATACTTTATAATCTGACGTCTAAAAATATGCAATGATCATTACCAGTGGCTGCTCGTGGGCCCTAGCGGCAGTGGGGCACACACTGGAAAGGAATCCCGGGATTCGTTTTCCCCTTAGGAAAACAAGTTCTCCGCTTCTCTGAATATTTCGTTTCAAATGGCTCCAGAGTAACTCTATAGGATTAAAAATACAAAAATATGGTGGCAACCTTAAAACTGTATGACCCCTATCACCTACAATTTGACTATATACTTTTTTTCAAAATCTTTAGTCTCTAGGACTTCCAAAAGTTTATATTTTTTATAGTTTTTATCAAAATATAAATCGTGATTTATTAAAAGTTCTTGAATTTCATCTTTCCTAGAGTTTTTATTAGGTATCTTCCTTAAACCTGCAGTGATATGAAGCATTGTCCATAACTATTACACTTTCTGGCTTTAAATTAGGCAACAGTGAATTCGCAAACCATTCTTCAAAAATGTCGGAATACTTATTTGATTGGTAGTCAATCTGGCAGCTCTTTTTTTTTCAATTAATAGTAAGGCATTGTCAACCCAACCGTTCTCTGAGCCACAGTTTAATATTATCAATCAAGTGCCTTTATTTGGAGGGATGACTAAGGCTTGGCAATATTTATTATCATTTGTCCAGCCCTTTTTTGCAGTATCATGCGAATCATACCACGTTTCATGCAGAAAATAAATTGTATTCACGAATTTTCTGTAAATAATATTTTCTCCAGTTTACTATTCGTCTTGTTTCCATAACTGCACTTCTTTTATCTATCATTTTGTACTTAAAACCGATTTTTTTTGGCCAGTTATACAATGTAAACCTTTTTGTATATGTATCGAAATAAGTTTCACTTAAGGGTTTATGTATAATATCAAGAGTGGGAATAGTATTTTGTCTATAAAGTTCATACACTGTATTCACAATGGATTTGGCAATGGCTGGATCTAATTTTTTTTTCACACCTTTGTCTTTACGAACTTTTTTGTTGGAAATTCCATTTTTTATAATTTGGTTCATTCTATAAAGCGATATACCAGTAATAAACGCTGCTTCTTGAACGATAGAAGTGTTTTCGATATACCCACGGTTTAACAAATTTTTATAAACTTAAACAAATTTGCTAAGACTGTTTATTTAAAAAGAGTTTATTTTTTATTTGCGCAGGCACTGCATTAGTTTCTCCATCACTGTTTGATGTACTGGTGCTCGGAATACTATCCCACGGTCTCCACATAGTTAATAACACATACACAAAAATATAAACGAACAATAAAGTTAAAATTACTAACCTCCAAAACACAAACTAATTATTGATAAAACGAACCTAAACACTAATAAAACAAAAAATAGTATTCCATAAAATTTTAAAAAGTACGATGCACAGAGGGGCCACGTTAGACAAAACTCACCAAAAACTCTAAAATTAAAATTTAGATAACTGACAAAAATAACTACGGCAAATCTTTTGCAATAAATCCTTCTTTCCAACTCACATTGGGGTCTATTCTGTAACAATTCCTTTATATTTAACGGCCTTTAAAAATATTTTCTTCTTTACTTCTGTCATTATTTAAACGGATCTTTAAAATACATTAGAGGACTATCTTAAAGAAATCTGTTTAAATAATGACAGAAGTAAATTAACGAATACGAACATATTTTTATGGGCCGTCAATATTTTTAAAGGCCGTTAAATATAAAGGAATTGTTACAGAATAGACCCCATTAGCCTTGGATTGTCTGCGCGATAAAACAAAAGATAAAGCTTGTCAAAAATAGCGTCTTGAATGCGTATATTGCTGCAATTTTTTTGAGTGATATTATTAATAAATTCCGCCTACTATTGGTGATATATTAATCGAATTAACTTTAATAATAATCATAGAAAATAATAGACGTGTTAAGTAGATTATTATTGTATAAAAATATTTAATGCTGTATTTTACTGTTATTCCAAGGAGGCATTTTCATAAGTTCTGCAAAAATTAACAAATTTATTCAGACCTAGGATTTCTTTTAGACAAAAAGTAGCAAATTCTGCTGTATTCAGTATAGATTTTGGCATAGTTTATTTTCGTGAACATTCTTATTTATAGTGGTATTGCGATTAGCTGCTACTTTTTGCTTATAATGCCGTAATTTAGGCAGACGCAAGAGGGTGATATTTTTGTAGCCCTATTACTAGAACTACTAATCGGGCAAATTTTTTTGTTAATTTTATTTTTAATTCTTGTTTTGTTACCTCTTACGTGATTCTCGTTATTATATTTATTCGTCTATAATGTGCAGCTCATGAAAAACCATAAATAAATCGGAATTTATCGGTATATTTATTTTGTTTTTTTTTCAGTCTTTCTTGATAAGAGTTAACTTGTACTTGTAAAAACTGTTTTTGCAATGAAATGATTTTTTCTAATATAAATAATTTTTCTCTCATTGTCTGTGTTGTTTTCGATTATTTGAACTTATAAATTAGTCGAAGAGATCTGTGGTAAAATATTAAAGATTTTCATTCAAAAAAAAAACCGAAAATGTACACATCTTAAAGATAACGTAAGAAATTTAACAAATTTCCTAACTGATAAGTTTCAAATTATTTCAAACCAAATTTCAAAATTTATATTTGATTTTAAAACAAAATGACAAAAAGCTTGCAGAGTTACGTCAGTTTTTGCTGAAACCAATAAAACCTGGTTGGATCCCAAAGTGGTATTTACCAACTATACACGCGCTTTAGATCAATCAAAAATTGGCAGCCCTTTGGCTGATTTTTTATTTAGTTGCGAAATTGGTAAACATCAGGAAACTGCTAATTTGCGCAAAGAGAATTCGGTCAAGGTTATCTGATATGCGGCTCAAATGGATCTCAGAAAATTTGGTAATGTGCAAGCCTCCAAACTATTACAAGAAACTTACTGGAATTCTGCGAGAGCTACTGAATATATAAGTGCTTTAAATAAAAGTATGACTGCAGATACTAAAATATAATTGTCACTAGAGGAGGCACTTTTATTTTTAGTGGAAGTGAACTTATCTCGTAATCAATATAATATAATTAGAGAAAAGGACAAAGCCAGTTTTCCTTCATATAAAGTTGTGCAACAAGTCAAGCTTGCATGTTACTCTAATAATATAAAAGTTGGTTCCACTTGTGTAGAAGTTGAACTTCCTTCCGTACTTCAGCACACCAATATTTCAGTTAATACATTTTTAAACCACCGGTTATTATTATTATGAAAGCCTGTTAATTTAAAAACAAAATGTTAATTTAGTATTTTGATAATGTTTAAAGTGTGTCCTGTAGCAAAATATTCTGTTGTGTTTTATTTTTTTTGTCGCCACTCTTGAATTTAATTGTCTTTAAAAAATAGTGTAATTTCAAGGAGAGATCATTTTGTTATAAAAGATAGTAATTCATATATCTACTAATACCTACTAAGCTGTTTTACTACTTGAATTTCTCACAACTTTTTAAGGAACAGCCTGTACCTACTTTAGAAGGTGACAGTTATAATGAGACATCCTGTATAATATCAATAATATCTCTGTTGATATTAGTTTGTTACACCTACACTTTAAACACATTCCAGAATACAAAAGTATAAGCTTTAATACTTTCCAGAATTGTTGGTAAGTTTTGATACTATTTGCCCTATGTGCGATGTAGGAGCTGTTAACCGTACAAAACTCAACAGGTCACTAAGGTGAAAGTAAAAATAATTATTTTTATTCAAATACGTTTGATTTTCCTTTTCAGCATTGGTTAAACATTTCGCAAGTTGCAATACTTTTTAAACGGACAAAGACAATATGCTGACAAGACAATATATACCGACAAAGACAATAGCCGTCAAAGGCGATACACCGCCAAAAACAATATACTTACAGAGGCAGTATACCGACAAAGTTGTTCACGCTTCTTGGAGAAAAAAAAAGCAAAATTTTATCTAAAATACTGAAATCGTTAGTTATAAATCCTACTTATTTTATTCGAATTATATATGTATATAAAAAATTACTATTTTAAATCTTCAAATCGAAAGAAATATATACCTATAATACGTACATATTAAATAAAATTTCAAGTAAAAACATATGTCTCCGTCTATGGGCGGTCTAACAAAGAGTTAGTTTAGCTGACTTCCGATAAGCAACCCATTCCCTACACCAATTTTTTTTCGAATTATTCAAACAGACGCCGAACTTTTTTTGCGTTTGCGGTACTCCTTTATAGTTGACTTATTGTTTGGATGGACTATACAGCAAGTTACGATAAGGACAGCGCCCCGCTTGTGACGTATAACCCACCGCATCTGTTCATCTCTTGCTAAGCGATATGGTCGTCCTTGTTTTTCGCGTTATAATGAGAGAAAAAACAACAGAGGCACACATTTACTGTGCCCTGTGCCTATCTTCGACTTAATTTCGGCATTCTCGCGTGGTCGTCCAGTGTCGTGCCAGCGCGTTTTGCGCTGAATATTAGATAAAATAATAATAGGCATTGATGAAAATATAAAATATGTAAGTTATTATTTTTTTTTAGTTTATTATACTAGGGCACGTGCTCAAGTGCCCTTACGGGCAAACCGCCACTGATCATTACTATTTAGAAAATGAAACTGATGATATACTTTGACCGCATTATAAGTGAAACCTTTCAAACTTTGCGGTAGCACGAGGCATTGTAAGCACATTTATTAACTGACGTACTAAAAATTAATTTCTTAAAAAAATAATCTTTAATAATCTCTATGCAAATAGTTATTTATGTATAAAGGGCGTAAAACAGGCGTTTATGGGCCGCAACGTGTAAGAGCCCGAGTCGCTAGTGGAGGGCTATTAACACGTAAGGTCCATAAACGCTGTTTACGCCTGAAATACATACAAAATTTTATGCACGACCCTTTTATTGATAATTTATTAACAAATATACACGGTGTCCCATTAGTGCGTAATTGTTCAATATTTCAATTTGTGTTATAGACACGTAAAAAAGTGTTAAATAAAAGTTATATGAATTTGGAAGATACTTATTTTAAAATTATTTTTGGATATATAGGGTGTTGCGTTTTTGCCTGGCAAATAAAAACACCATGTATTATTTTTAAAATAGTTTGGTAATACTGTATTCAACCCTAATATGTTTTAAAAAATTATTACAGTGTCGCCAAGCAATTAATTTTTGTTTATTTAGTACAAGCTGTTGCCCGCAGCTTTGCACGCGTGGTGTCGTGTTTATAATATCAAAAAATACATTATTTATTTTTTATTAACATTAATGTTTTATTAATTTCTATTATTTATTTTTACGATACTCCCCATTTCCCCCTCCTTAAAATGTGAAAATTAAAAAAACTTTGGAATATGTCATTTATAAATAATTTAATAGCCCTGGTGTTTTATATATGTTGTTGATTATGGCACCTAGAACATTTTACAAGTATAAAATTAAAAACCGATTTTTTAGTACATTATTTAATTCAAGCCTTCAATTAAAACCATCTTTATTTTGTCGCGGTTTTTAAAAAAAAAGAAATACCCAGTAATAATTTACATAGAATATACAAAATTAAATTACTCAAGAATTTAAAATTATTTCGATCTTATCAGCTGGTTGCATGAACGTACATGCATGAAAATTTACGAGCATTAAAAACTTTGAATTTAGACTCTAATTTGAAATTCATGTCATTCAGACAGATCACATTTTCAAACTGTCAAAATAATTTATCCGTCCGTAAACAGGGCTGGTACCAGCCCTGCTCATACATTTTAATAAAAGTTTTTGCTACCGATTGTAAACTTATTAAATCCAATTTCAATTATAAGTAAATGAACATTGTGTAACAATCACAGAATCAATCTAAAACTGCTTGTAATTGGGTAAGGTACAACATATACATAACGCCAGTATTAAACAGGAAAAAACCTTTGTATATGCCTAGCATTGGAAATAAAAAAAAACGCAAATTTCCTAAATACATATTGTTTTTATTAATCCTAATTATTTATATTACACATATTTTATTTTAAATTATTTCGACTGCTGCCTTCTTTTAGATGAACCATATCCGTATTCACTGTCAGATCTTCGTTTTCTATCTCTACTCCGACTTCTGCTCCTCCTGTATTTCTTTCGGTCACAATCATCAGATCCCGATTCGTGTTTTTTGTAATTGTTGGACTTCATTTTTTTAGAATATTTCCTTTTCCTGTCATCATCAGATGAATCTTCACTTTCTTCTTTAGGTTTCTTTTCTTCTGGTTCCCTTTCTAGCTTTTCTAACTTCCTATAACAAAAAGACTTTTATTTTCTATTGTAATTTTTTTTTTTTTTAGAAACTTTCAGGATTTGTTTTTAAATTTTTAACAATTGCTATGTTGGCGAAAAAACCCCTAACTTCACACAAGACAATCATATTCCTTATTAATGTTAAGAGTCTAGCAATTGGCTGCACTATAATTGAATACCTAAATAATAGTAATATTTTAATGTGAAAATTTAAAGCATTAGCTTATTATTAAATAAGATATTTCAAACAAAATACTTCTTAAATTTTAAAATAATATTTATTGGTATGACCTGATAAACAATAAACAAAACTTGACAGAGCACAGACTGTCAAATGGCCACAATATTTAGTTCATTAGTCCACAGTAGAGGGCGTATCGCTTATCTTCAGATATCAATACCCATTTTTTTTATTTTACTTATGTGGTGATTGGAAAATGGATAGCCAATAATGCACTAGGCAATTTTCGGGAATATTTATTAATTCTGGATCTACTAAGGAGGTCATGGGCCTCCCAATTAAGAAGTGAAAAAGTGTTAAGGGACACAAATGGGAAGGGTAAGTGGATAAACGTGAGATAGGACGAGATTTTACCCCTGCTTCCCATAAGCCTTCAAAATGGGGTGAGTACGTGGGTATGAAATACTGAGAGATTCCTTCCTTCCTAATTAAAATATAGGTTAATACATCAAATACCGATCTATATATTAGAAATTGACTATCATTATCTGTCGCCTTGAAAATTTATATGAATATAGAAAATATTGATTACAATCTTAATAATTTTTAGTCTTTCTAAATTAAATATTTGCCCAAATCTACATATTTCATTGTATTTCGAGGCTCCTATTGCCACATTTTTTCCATTAACAATGTGTCTTATTAAAATAATTGTAAACACCTATTTTAAAACAAAAATAACATACATGCTCTTAGTAATTCAGCAGCCCATGTACAACATGGCCATAAATAGACAAGCAAAAATACTTTATTAATAAACCATGTAGGTAAGTCTAATATCTATCTAATATTAAATTATTAAAAATTACTAATAAAGATTACTTTATTATTAATATTATACAGTAAGTAATACACATCAGGGGTAGACATGTAAAATTGTTAATTATAAAAATATATTTTTTAAATTATTATTAATCTATTTACTTACCTCAACAAAGCCTTTTTCTGTTTTTTGGTAAGCGATTTTAAAAAAGCTGTCTCAGTATTAGCATCCTCATCTTCGCTGAGTAAAAGATGTTTATTGGCTTCCACAGTATTTACATGTTGTTTTTTGAGTGCAAGACCATCATCTAGCATTTGTTGCACCAATGATTTTTGATCCAATACTGTTGTATTTTCTAAAGATCTGGCAGCACTCATGGAGAGACTGTACATGGGACATTCCTTATCTACAAAATAAATACATATTTTTATAAATGTTGTATAGTCAATACTGTTTTTAAACTAGGAAGAGGGAACTGAAAAGACCCATTTACACAGGAAAAGTAACTAGATATCACTTTTATATCACATTGAAGTCAAAGTTGTATATATAACCAACAAATAAAGATGACATTATTAAATTGTGGCATTAACTTTTTTACTAATTGTAGATTCTTTTAGTTTTTTGCAATAAGTCTCTTGCTTCGGGCATATTCCTAGATTTCTGGAAAATGAGTTATCTTACACCTATTTTCAAGTCTGGTAACAGAGCATACATCCAACTATAGACCCATCTGTAATTTTAGTTCCATTCCAAAGTTGTTTGAAAAGATAGTAGCTGATTACTTAAGATCTAAATTAAGTTTATCAATAATAAGAGAACAATTTGGGTTTCTTAACAAAAAATCTACAGAACTGAATTTGCTTGCTTTTGTTGACTATCTGTCGTATGTCTTGGATGGAGGTGGTGAGGTGCATGCCATATACACAGACTAAAAACATTCCCAATCCATCTGGAGTCCCCCAAGGGTCCCATTTGGGACCTTTGTTATTTTTATTATTTATAAATGATATATCAGAATGTTTCAAGTTTGCCAAATTTTTATGCTTTGCTGATGACCTTAGCAATATTACCTAGAGTCACCTCTGGCCAGGGAGATAAGCACATACAGACAATGACATGTGGATTCCCGGTTGTTTGTCAGGATGATGTTGGAAAGTCACATATCACACAGTCGGAGAGTAGATTCAGTCAAAGCACAGTTAACCTGCTCAGAAGTACCGACTACTTGATATTATTTGTTTTTTATTTTCAATGTTCATAAGAGATTATAGTGGTGTTTACTTAAGTTTGGATTTTAATTAATATTTATACCCCCTTAATTTCTAACAATATATATTTTTAATAAGCACTTTTTGCTACTTCAGATAAGTTCATGTTGCAACTGAATCTATCTTTCCCTGGAGAATTACACCCTGCAACTTTAATCACGAAATTGGGCTCTTCTGTATAAAAAGACAAATTATTTTTTAATTTTCTGATCAGTATATTTTGGGTTCATTATCCATAAACGGAGGCTCTGTTCAAATATCACTTCTATGCATTCCTGTGATAAAACTCATTTAAATTTGCTCTTGGTTCAACTTGAAGATATATTAAACCTGTACTTACCAGTATTTATGTGACCCCATTTGTGACACTTTATACACCGTACGTTCCTGACTTGAATACCAAAAGGTTGATCCCTAATTTCTTGGTCTCCTTTGCAGTAACTTTCTCTAGGTGCATTGTACTTCCTTTGCCATTCAAATTTGTACTCTGGTTCATTATCTTCACGTTCTCTTTCTTTCCTAGCGCCAGGAGGAGGCTCATACATGAAACTGATACTCAACTTATCTTTACTCTCTTTACTAAGCATAGCTTTATTATCATGCAGATCTTGTTCTTTCTCATATTGCTGCCGTAACTCTTCTTGCTTCTTTTTGTAAGCTTCAGCTTTCTGTTCTGCCATCCATACCTGAAATTGAAAGATCGAGTTAAATGTTGCAATATAGCCTTAACAAAGCCAAATAATACATAGGTGTGTGATGGTTAAAACTTACCCTCTTCAAATTGTCACGAGACGCTGGATGGAAGAATTTCTTACACATGTAATTGTTAAATCCCTTACCCATTTTTAGGCCGTTTTATTATTCCGCGTTAAATGTAATTAAATCTTTAAAAACTGACCATTAAAAAAATATCACCTGACAAAATAAAAAATATGGCGTACAATACAAATGACGTTAATGACAATGACGTAGTTTCGTTCATCTGTCATTTCAACGACAACCACCTACAGCCAGTGTTGCCAGGTCCTAATTTTTTCAGTATACTGCCTGTCAGTAGAAATCAATAGCCAAATGAGTTGCTTTATTAAAGGGGCAAAAAAAATAACATTGCAGTGGCTTCACTTCCGATTAGCGTAAATATTAATTATACCTATTTTAAACTGTTTTGACTCATTAGAATGTTAGACTATGAAAATTAACAACCAAATCATATTTACAATAGAAAATCAAACACTAATAAGTACCAATTAAAAAATAGTTTATTAAGAAATGGGACATCATTGAAAATAAAAATAAATATTAATAAAAAATAAAATAACTCAAAAAATAAACACTTAGGGTGAGATTACAGAATATCTGCAACTTAGCAGATCTGCAAATATGGCGGCAACTTTGCAGATCTGCAAATATAGTGGACTTACAGATGCAAGTATCAAGTTTTCGTATTCCAAAAAATATTTGCAAATTCGCACCCTTAAGGTTAGAACATTCTACAAACTTGCAGATTGTCAATTTTTACTTTACTTTTTTTTAATAACCATGAAGTATTCTGTTCCTTTTGATTGAATACTGTTCGTGGTGTTAGATTATCAAGTTTTTAATCATAGTAATGGATTTGGGTTTAGTGTTGTAAGTCCGCCATAATATTTGCAGATCTGCAAAGTTGTCGCCATATTTGCAGATCTGCAAAGTTGCCGCCATATTTGCAGTTCTGCAAAGTTACAGACGTTCTGTAATCTCACCCTTTAAAAAATATATTCTAATCGGAATCGGAGTCAGAATTATCATTTTTTTTTGTACATGCTATTATTATTAATCTCTAGGAGATCTAAAAACTTTACAGTATGACAATTAGCACTTCTACTCCTTAAGTAAGTTCTTACATGAAAATTGCCCACAATATTCGCAGTAGAAAGCTTATTAATTTGGCTGATTGTACAGTAATAAGCCAGAAAGAAAACCACAACAATTTTTATATACCATACCACAGCGTACACTGCATGGTATGTAGCTCGATAACTCGAAACACAACACACAACGACACAAAAGAAGCAATGAACGCAGGAAATTCTCTAGAAATTCCCAGGAAAGTTATAAAAAAACAGCTGGCTGCCTACTACGTGTATTGTTGTGATTATTTTATGACATTTGATTTTTTTTAATTATAATATGATTATAATTTGAAAAAATCAGAAAAAGCTGATAATAAAAAATAATGAAAACGGCTTTTTTTCAGTAGAATTCACATTGATTTATCAGTGGACCAATAACCAAATCAGTAAATCTACTGAAAAATCAGTAGACCTGACAACACTGCCTATGCCTGCCTGTTGGGTTTGACCTATGGGTTTGACCGTTTGACCCGACCATAGATATGATGGAGGAGATGGGTTTGACAGGGTCAATAAAATAGTAATATAGATTGATCAAAACGGGTCGAATTTCATTGCGCATTAACGTGTTACGTGTGTCCTTTTATTCAACTGTTGTAGTAACGTTGAAATCAGAGCCGTATCTTCCTGTCTCTTTTTTACATCAATCTTTCAATTAGGCATTCCAACGACCTGTCAAACAATAGGTGCCAGTAGGAAATTCTTGTATATTTAAGGGGGTAGCGACATAGTCTTGCAACTTGGACGCTATTTTTATTCGAAGTAGTACTCGCCAAGCCTGCCAATTTATGAAGAAATGTATAGGTGGGTTTTTTAAATATTATTTTTATTGTGTTTGACATAAAATATTTAAATGTAATCCATTATTCATGATTTTACGTAAAGTAGATAGAATACACCATATGTCGCCACCCTTAGATATACCAAACCTGCCCACTGGTAATTCATTTGTTTGGAATGCCTAATAGGTTCTTTTGTTGTCAATTAAAACGAATTATGTCATGGATATGCAACTAGCAATAAAATAAAGTGATATTGGTTGCCTACATATCAGTAATTTTTTACTAAAACAACTTAATAAATAATCGAATAAAAACTAGAAAAAATATTTTATGTAACACGTTACAAGATGCCGTTTTGTGTAACTCATTCATGTTGGGGGAGACATATCGCTTTGCTCATCACCTGTTAAATAAGCATTTCGTAAATATTGAAACGGCTAATGAGCCGAGGCATGCTGGCCAAAAGACTGTCTAAGTGTAGACCATAAAATTAAAAGAAGAGAAAACAATCTTCTTGTCTTCTCCACAAGTCCACATTCCTCGCAAATTCCCGCCTTTTTTGCAGTTCAGTTTGCAGAAAAATATTTTATTTTATATATTCTTTTTTTAACCCAGTATTAATATAATGGACCCTGAAAGCGAAGAAAATTTTAAGAAAAAAATAAAAACCGACAATGGAAAACGTATTTCTAAAGAAAAGACTGTTTCAACCAAATCCATTGCGATAGTGGACCGGTGTTCCTTATGCAAACAATATTTGGATTCTCTTTTATACTATTCAGGTCATCCAAATTATTCTACTGATGAAGCTTATGCACTTTTAGACGAAAAGCTTAACATTTTCACTGGAAACGAAGAATGTATAAATGAAAATGATCATCCAACACACAAGGTAATTTGAATTTGTATATATCTAAACAATGATAACTTCATATGTAATGGATATAACAAGGGAATAATTCTACGTATAGTGGGAATAAGTACATAAGAGTGAAACCACAACCATGACTTATTATATCCACTACATAACACTGCACTTCGACTAATGTGCATATTATTATTATTCACAATCATTATGGACTTATGTGATTTTACAGTCATGTGTTTGTAGTTAGTTATAGAGGCTGAATTTAAGTTAATACAAAATATATGATAATTTGACTTCAGTGCTTATTGAGATTATACACAGAAATGAAGTTATAAATTAGTAAACAAATATTCAGTGGTTTAAGATCAATAGAAAAATTTAATTGTGAATATTTTTCACGAAGACCTTCCTTCAGAGACCTATAACTCAATAAATATATAAGACTTTCACAAACAAATATTAAGTGACCAATAAAATTCATAATAGATTAAGGATTTCAGTGCCATTCTTATTTTAACTGAATTTCATTGTCTAAAATAGTAGCTGGTCAAAGGGGTGTAGAAACCTCTCTGAAAATCTATAGAATTAAAACCATTTTGAAAACCACTGACCCTATTTTATTGGTCACTCTATAGAATAGAATCGAATAATTTATTAACCTTCATTGCATAAAAAGATACACAAGGCAAGTCGTACAATATAATGTAAAATTTAACAATAATAATTTATTTCTGCAGACCTGTATCACACAGTTTTATTGAGAAATTCTGTAATAGAGTAAAAAGCTTTTTTGTAGGTATATTTTTACTTTTTTTATAAGATTTATATGTCTTCAGGCAAAGCATTATAGATATTAATACAGTTACACAAGGGAGACCTTCTGAAAGTTGTCTGGTAGCTAGGGAGTCTTAAGTTGTCATCTCACATACATTTCATAAAATTTCTACTTTAAGATCCTGTTAGTTTTTTAATATCCATATTTTATATAAGCAAGTTAGCTTGAATCGGCTTATTTTTGATCCCATAAACTGTGGTTAAATGTAGGTACTATTCATCTTTTTATCTTGTATTAATTATCATTCTTAAATAGTAACAAATTTGTATTCACTTTTTTGTTCCTGTAAAAACTATTGTAACTGTTTTAATAGTCATAAATATTTTTTTTATTCGAATTTGTCAAAAAACATTTTTTCACAGTGGACATAATCGAAAAGTAGTACTTTTCCATGTATATACTTCAAATGAATTGCTACAACCCAGGCTGAAAAAGTCAACTGCCAACTGAACACCATTCTTTTTTTATTTTCAGTTTACTTGTTGAACCTGCTGACTATATATTTTTTCTACTGTAAAATAATAATCCATAATCCACATGCACATTAAATTTGATTACAAACATTTTTAACTGAATTTGTATTTATTTATTTATTTATTTATTTATTTATTTATTTATTTATTTATTTATTTATTTATTTATTTATTTATTTATTTATTTATTTATTTATTTATTTATTTATTTATTTATTTATTTATTTATTTATTTATTTATTTATTTATTTATTTATTTATTTATTTATTTATTTATTTATTTATTTATTTATTTATTTATTTATTTATTTATTTATTTATTTATTTATTTATTTATTTATTTATTTATTTATTTATTTATTTATTTATTTATTTATTTATTTATTTATTTATTTATTTATATCATAGAATTTACAAATAATTTAAAAATTACAAATAATATTCTCTACACTTATACACATTTTAGAAATTCAAAACAAGTAATTACAACTAAAAAGTACTTAGAAAAACTTATAGAAATAAGCCACATAGCCTAAATGCCTAATGCATAAGGTACTTGATAAAATAATAAAGAAAGAGTGTGCACCTAAGTGATTGAACACTTGTGTTGCAACTCTAAGGATTTAACAAACTTGCGTAATAATAGTTAATATTAAAAAAAACTTATGCGCATAAAATATATAATTTTGAAAAATAAATTTTTTTGTTACACTTAAAAAACGTTTAAATTTAGTGATCAGCCTAATCTCTAGTGGTAGGAGATTGCATGCTTTGGGCAAAGTATGCACATATATTTTTCTGAAATCTTTGGGTTGGCAGTAACTCATTAGCAGTACTATGGGTTTGATAAACTAAAGGTATACTAGGGGTATTTACTAATAATTTATTCTTGAAGGCATACACACATAAACTATGAAAGTTTAATGTTTGGATATTACATACATCTTCAGTGTATAGGAGATTTGTGTGATATCTCTTTTGTTTCTTAAATATAATTTTTAGTACATAGTTTTGTGTGATATTTAGTTTCTGCAATGAGTTCCTGTACATTCCTCCCCAAATAAAGATAGGTACCATAATGAAAAAGTGATTCAGCTAGGCACTTGTATATTAGTAATAACAATTTTCTTGATAGTATTTCTCTTAGTTAATAAAATTTGTAAATAAGCTTTCTCACCTTTTTCAATAGATAATCTATATGATTGCCCCATTCTAGATTTTTATCCATAATTATACCCAAGTACTTGACTTCATTTGCCTCTTTAATTTCATCTTGCATACCTGTGATTTTTATCTTAGTAAAATCAGGTCTATTTGTTTCCGTTAAGGTAAATGCGAGATAATTTGTCTTGTTAACATTTATTGAAAGTTGGTACATATTTAGCCATTTCGTAATTTTTTCCATGCCTCTTTCAACAGCAGTTCTAGTTTCCATCCAAGAGTTTTCACGAAAAATCACGACTGTATTGTCCACGTAGGATACGATAGTTGCTCCCGTTACCAATGACATCGGGTCGGTGTTGTAGTAGTCTAACGCGCTTATATTCATTTATAGGCAAGTTTATGGTCCGAGACTGCTGGGCTTCAAATCCCAGACCATACCATGTGGATTTTTAATTAAATTGCATGGTTCGGTATAGGATTTGATGTGTGCCGTATTAATAGAAATTCAATTTTTGTTAATATGACATGCAGATTATAAAATCGCCATGCATTATCGTCTCGATGATGGTGGGTGAGGTTTTTCTGGTTTTCCTGGTTTTCCTCACCTGTAAGTCAAATGGCACCATCAATCATCTTTAAGTCGCCCCGGAGCGCCACGGCAAATAATAATAATAATAATAATAATAGCCGTCCCTTTCCCCGCACAAGCTCAGCTTTTGGGGTTAAAATTCACTCGTAAGGGGGTGAATTAGGGAGAGTATTATTATTATTATTATTATTATTATTAGAGCTAGGAATATATGCAAAACGCCATATTTTGCATATGTTGCATATATATACAATTTTTGATTTTGAATGCATATATTGACATTTTGTTAATTTTTTGGAATATATCTGACGTACTAATTGGCTGGACATATTAAAATTATGAGTTTTGGACCTAAATAATATTTTGTGAAATGCCTTTACAGGTCGATTTCCTAAAATTTTGAAGGATTAACTTTTCCCTATAATAAATTACGGTTAATGGTGTAGGTACTTGAGAGGATTAAATTATAAACACCCTCCTTAAACCAACAAATTTTGCTAAATATCCTTTCAGGTAGTTGTATTAATATCTTCAAATTTCTAAATGACTCAGTTTACTTTCAACTTCATTTCAGTCTTTATTGTTGTATTGTGTTAACCAGTGGGAAAATGGCAAAATTAATTGAGTCGTGGGTAAAATCTTATTCAGATTTTGTTGTAGAAGGTGATAACCAGGTTTTTGTAAAACATGTTCTAAAATTGTAAGTACTTTTTTATTTTATATTTTATTTTGACCTTTCACAATGGTAAATCAAACGACAGTAAAATATTATTTCAACTCACAGTTAAAAAAAAAGTAGGGTAACTTTACAACGTACGCATTTATTTAATTTAATTAAAACTTCAACATCTACAGGGTTTATTTATTTTAAATTCCATGTAAAAAAAGTTTCAAATCGACCAACACGCGAAAACACCCTCACATATAGCAAAGCAGAAATCTAAAGACACTCGCAGACAAAGTCAACTTCCCTTGAAACAATATTTAGAATCTGGATCGTCTAGAAGTGAACAAGCTATTTTTAATGAAGATTTATGCAAAGCTTTAGTGACCTCGAATATCCCTTTAATACGATTAAATAATCCAAATCTCTGATCATTTTTGCAAAAATACTGTAAATTTAATATTCCATAGCAAAGTATATTACGCAAACGTGGTGTTGACAGTTTGTACATTGAGACTCGTGAAAAAAGTCGTGAGATTACCGTTGGAAATAATTTCTACATTATTGTGGATGAAACAACAGACTCTTGTGGTCGATATATAGCCCATTTAATGATAGGTTTATTACGCGAAGAAATGCAAATTGGTCCATATCTAATCGCTTCAAAACAATTAGATAAAACAAATAACTTGACAATAACTCGTTTTATCCAGACAGAATTGTCTTCCTTTTTTCTTCCGGAAGCCGTTCCAACAGAAAAATGTTTATTGCTGTTATCGGATGCTGCCCCGTACATAGTAAAAGCCGCACAAAATTTAAAAATGTTTTAGGAAAAATTAATCCATGTTACATGTTTGGCTCATGGCCTTAACAGAGTTGCAGAAGAAATTAGGTCTAACTTTCCTTTAATAAATGATTTAATTAGTAATGTAAAAAAAATATTTCTTAAAGCTCCTCTAAGAACTCAATTGTACAAAGAAAAATTTCCTGAATTACAGATGCCACCGGAACCTGTGATTACTCGGTGGGGTACCTGGCTTAAAGCTGCCTTTTTTTACGCAGATAATTATGAAAAAATTAAAGAAATCATATTTGATTTTGATGATTCATCTAAGGGAATATATAATACAAAGAAGTTGTTTCAAAATCACATATTACCAAAGCAATTAGTGTTTTTAAAAAATTATGCATTTGTACCCAAAATTATATTAGATTTAGAACAAACAAATTTACCTTTGGTGACTTCCGTAAATTTAATTAAGACGTTTGAATCAGAGTGTAAAAATGTCCAAAGCGATA